TTCTGTTTCTTTCTCTGGTGGAAGCTGCTCACTGTCCCCTCTGTTGCTCCAGCTAACCCTCTGTCTGCCTTCTCTGCCACTCTCCTCTCCTGCCTCTCCAGATTTCTCTTCTTTAACTTCCTGCATTAACCCTGGGCCGGTGTTCCTTCGTCCCCTCCCCTGCTGCGCTCATGCCCCAATCCTGTCTTCTGCTTTATCCTGCCCCTGCTCCCTACCGTCCACCTGCCTGCCGAAGCAGCAGCGATGAACCGTCCATCTGAGGAGCCTGGGCCTTGCACCTATAAGGCCATCTAGTGCCAAGTCCCTCCCCCACCTCCCCCTCACTGCACTTTGGACCCTCGGGGGCCAACATCTCCAAGACAAAGTTTTTCAGAAAAAAAAAGGAGGAAAAAAGAATTTAAAAAAGGATCTCCACTCTTCATGACTTCAGGGATTAATTTTTTTTTTATACGCTGGAAATGGACTTCCCTTTCCCTTCCCAAAGAGGATAGGACCTCCCAGGATGCGTCCCAGCCTCTCTTCAGTTTCATCTGCTGTGCCTCTGGGAGGAGAGGGACTCTTAGGGGTCCTGCCCCTCATTTGCCATCACCAAAAGGAAAGGACAAAGCCACATGCACCAGGGGTGGGAGCCCCTGCAAGGCTGCACCGGAGAGACGGACAGGCCTCAGATGGTGAGGGGTCAGGACAAAAAATAAATAAGTAAAGGCACTTCCCACCGACCAGTTCCACCTCTCCCAGGAACTGGTAAGCCCTGTCCGGCCAGGGGCAGAAGGACTCATGGCCCCTGGACCCCCCAAATGCTGCATGAACCGTTTTTTAAGGCAAAGCCTGTGTCCCCAAGATGGGGACTGACTACCCCAGCCCCTCTCCTTTTCCTGGACTCTGGCCATGAGCTACAGCCCAGGTGTTTGCTCAGTTTGCTGACCCCAAAGTGCTTCATTTCTCCTGCCCAACCTCGTAGGGAGGGCCAGTCACTGTTGAGTTGCTTCTTTGCTGTGTGGGCGGCACCAGGAGGAAGGGTAAGCACAGAGCTGGCTTGGTGTCCCCGAGGGGCCTCGAGTACAGGTTTCAAGTCTGGGTTCTGGTGTCCACTCACCCCCTCCCCGCCAAATCAGACAAATGCTGTTTTGTCTGACCTGCTGTGGCCTCTGAGACATGTTCTATTTTTAACCCCTTCCTGGAATTGGCTCTCTTCTTCAAAGAACCAGGTCCCCATTCCTCCTTGTCCCCCTACTTGACCCCAGTTCCCTGTGAAGAGAGAGTTAATATATTTTTTATTTATTTGTTTTTTTTTTGTTTTTTTTTTGGTGTGTGTGTGTGTTGGGATGGGTTTCTGTCTGGCCCCAGGGGGTCTCATGTGGCCATCGCAGGCTGGTGAGTACCTGGCAGCCCTGGATTTGGGGCCTACCATCCTTCCTCGCTCCATTTGCTCCCCTTGGTTTTTACCAACCACCGTTCATTTGAGTCGTCTTTTCCTCTAAGCATGTACTCCAGACTTGTCACTGACTCCCCTCTAGAGCAGGTGGTAGAATAAAGGCTCTCGGCAGGAAGAATGTTCCTGTTCCTCACCATGGCTGGTCTCTGGCTTTTCTGCCATGGATTCTCACCTGCCCACCACCCTCTTTCCCTCAGCAATTCCTGTGAAGGGTTAAAAATTTAACTGGATTTAAAAAAAAAAAAACTACTGATGACTTGACTTAAAAAAATACAAAGATGCTGGATGCTAACTTGATACTAACCATCAGATTGTACAGTTTGATTGTTGCTGTAAATATGGTAGAGTTTTGTTTTTCTTTTTCCCCCATACTACTGAATAAACTAGTTCTGTGCAGGAACTGTGTCATCACTGGCTTCTGTATAGCAACCTGGGTAGAGGCCTGGATTTTGGGAAACAGGGTAGATAGAACCTTGAAGATCCGGAGGACAGAGAGACTAAAGCCATATCAGCAGAGCCCTGAGTCTGGCTGTTTGGAGGTAGAGAAGATGCGTGGGTAGGTGGATATTTTTTCCCCCTAGAATATGAGAATTGTCAAGCTAGAGAGGCTACACAAATCAGGCAGGGTCTCAGTCTGAGTGGCAGACAAACAAGTTTTCTAGGGCAGAATTCAGTAGATAGGAAGGAGTGGTAGTTTCCGTGGCTGTTTTGTTTGTTTTCAAGGTGATTTTTTTTGTTTTTTGTTTGTTTTTGTTTTTGTTTTTTGAGTCAGGGTTTTTCTGTATAGCCCTGGCTGCTCTGGCTCACTCTATAGACCAGGCTGGCCTCGAGCTCAGATATCTATCTGCCTCTGCCTCCCAAGTGCTGGGATAAAAGGTGTGCACTATCACCACCTGGCTATTATGGGCTGTCTGACTGTTTTATTGGGGGAATGAAACATATACTCATTCTGGGTATAAGTATGTGTTTGGTGACATTACTTCTAGTCCTACATTTTTGTTTTTAAAAGATCCACTCAACAAAATAGGGTTGATACTATGAACAAACCCTGCAAACAGAAGCAGCCTGACTTGTCTGAGCCTTCGTTCCTCTGTCTCCATAATGAGGGCAGTGGTAACAGCATCTGCCTAATTGAGCTTTTAGGAGAATTAAATAACCTAACACATGCAAAGTGCTTACAACTTTTCACAGTGCATAGCAAGAGGCCAATAAACACTGGCTTTTCCTGTTGTTGCTTGCAGAATGGAAGGGGTGTGGTGGATGAAGAGAAAATTAGAAATCCAAGCCAGAGAGGAGGAGGCAAGCAGGTAGCTAAACAAGAAGGGCAGCTGTGGCAGGTAGGCACTACCAAATGAATGCCACTTCACAGGTTTGGAGCCAGTGAACCCTATTGGGTGGAGGCAGAAACTCAAGATTGGCCCAGTGAGAAAGAACATGCCTTGCTGGCTCCAGCCACCAGGTGGTAGCAACACCAGGGTTTGTGGCTGGCTTTGCTTCACACCCACAGGGGCTTGGCTCAAAACAAAAAAACAAACAAACAAAAACAAACAAAACAAAGCTGCCACCTATTGGCCATGCCTCACTGCCTGTTCTTAGGCTACTGCAGATGCCAGTTAGAGCAGGAGGTTGCCACCAGGTTATGCTTCCTGAGTTCTTTGCAGTGACCTATCCACTCGGATGGAGGCCCAGGACAAGCAACGCCTGGAAGACCCCAGGAGATCAAGGGACTCAGCAACTGACTGGTTGGTAAGCTTGCCCTCTCTATAGCCCACCCAGTAGACCTCCTGGGCCAGGTTGTTTTAAGGAAGATGAGGTAGGCAGGAGTCTGGGAAACACACCTGAGCCTTTCTTGCCTCTATTTCTTCAAACCAGAACCCATGGCAACTGTGTATCCTCTTCCTCTCACATGCCAGCTCTGAGGTCAGTGGCTGCAGCCACCATTGTGTGTATAGTCCCCGTGTATTTATAGGTGTATTAAATGAATCTTACGGTCAGCCATAGAAGACAAAACACTATGGAGGCTCCTGAACGGGGGGGGGGCGGGGGGCCTGGGGAGGAGCACCGAAGGCCTAAGAGCACTTAATGGCACAGGCATGGGTGGACACAGTTGCCAGCCACCTGGCCACCCCCTCTCCTTTACTCAGTTGCCTTAATTGAAGTTTCTTCTTCATAAAGGATTGACTTAGTGCTGACAGCAAGAGTCAAAGGCTACAAACCAGGAGATCCTAAGGTGGACTTGTTAGAACCTTATCCTGTTTTCAAAAAGTACCCATTAGCATATGCTCACTCTACATGAGTTCAGTACTCCACCACAGACAAGCTACAACACAAGGCCACAGTGAACATTTCTAAATTCTGATGCCAGCCCTCAAACCCAGTAGGAGAACAAAGGCAACTCTAATGATGTGAGGTAGATACTATTAGGCCTTCTGGCATCTTCTGGCAGAGGCAACCTCAGAAGCTGAACACCAACAAAGGGCCCCTTTATCCCCTAAGGGGTTCCAGTGTCTTGTCAGAGATAATAGTTAAGTTTAAGATACAGTAACAGTAAACTTAGTTCCTAGCATAACAGCCTCAGGCACTGTAGATGAAACTACGGTCAACTTTGATCTGGACTCTCTGTAAACACTGAAGTGCAGAAAGGAGACTTGATCCTGATTGATTGGCAACAAGGGACTGGACACGCCTGGAGGAACTGGAGGTTCTAAGCCCCAGGACTTATGTCTGAGGTCTCACTAGAATTACGCAGATGTTTACTTCAAAATTCTTAAAATCTACTTTCAGATATACAGAAAAAAAATTTTTAAATGCATTTTATTTAAGAAAAAATATGAAGATGGTGAGTAAGCTTATAACTGATTGGCCTGTGAAGAGTCACAGAATTCACAGGAAACAAGTTCTGCATACCAGTTGCCCTCCTGGCCTTTCCAAACAGACCAGAATCCAGTATAGTAATCAAGTCAGGAAGACCTGTCCTAGAGAACAGGGAGCTGGCTGCTTCCTAAGGCCACTCATATGGAAATGACCAGTGATCCCGTGGTCTGGTCAGGACAAGCTCTCTAGGCCTGATCACAAGGAGGGGACAGATAGGTCACTCTGCCTGCATTTATCATTGTTTGTGAATTTCTCCACGGGCAGATGACCTCTGCCTCTCTCTTTTTCCTTCAGGCAGAGTCGAGGGGTGTGTGTGTATGGGGAGAGGAGGGGATTTGAGTCTTCTAAGAGCTCAACCCACCCCCAACCTCCATAGTCTGTACTTCAGAGACCAGCCCTGGAGGCATCTCTTCCTCCCATCTCTGGGCCTGAGTCTAGCGGAGTTAGGGACCACTGGCAGAGGAGGATCCAGTCTCTGATGGCTAGGATGCAGTGGCTTGCTATTGAGTCTTTGTTTGCTGTCCTGATCTTCTTACCTGAAGAGAGAGGGGGAACTGCTTTAGAATACCTTCTTCCTCCTGAGCCCATCAGCACAGGAGAGAGCAGTACCCTCTCCCTTCTCTTCCCCAATCCACACAGAATCCCAGGATGCTGTGCACAGGCTCAGGTGCTGAGAACAGAGGAACCAGTCTTACCTAGTAGGTCCAGGGACCGCAGCTTTCCTGAGGGGCTGCATCCTGCCTCGAACGGCTCTGGTGGTTGGAAGATTTGTTTGCTGGGAAACAGGAACTTGATGGAGATGAAGAAGAGAGGAGTTAGAGCAAAGCTCAGCTGACCTCGGAAAAGCAAGGGTCCCCTTCTTAACACAGCTTTCCTACCTGGAAGCAGTGTCAGTTACCGCTGCAGGGGGGTCAGATCAAGCTGGGTCGCGGCAGACCTTCTATCTAAGGTTCTCTGGTTTTGTTTTGTTTCTTTGATTTTTGAGATAGGATCTCCCTATAATAGCTATGGCTGTCCTGGAACTCACTCTGTAGACCAAGCTGGCCTCGAACTCAGAAATCTGCCTGCCTCTGCCTCCCAAGTGCTGGGATTGCAGGCATGTGCCACCACATCCAGCTCAAATTTTTTTCTTTCTCTCTTGAGACATGCTTTTATATAGCTAAGGCTGCCTTGAGCTTCTCATTCTCTGGCATCTACCTTCTGAGTGCAGAGACTACAGAAATGTGCCACTGTTCCTAGCCTGACCATTTGTCCACCCTATCTTACCTCTGTGCCCTACGGCACTTGGATGCCCTTTCTGAGTTGACAGAGAATCTGGAGGTGGGACACCTTTGCCAGGTAGTAGACCCCGCCCAGTGAGTGGCATTCGGGCGGCAGGCTTGGGGATGGCGGAGGGGACGGGGAGTCGACTAGAAGACTTGGCAGCTGCTCCCTGTAGCCGGGATGAACACTGGGAGTTGCTGGCCGAGGACTGTGGAGCTGGTCTGACAGGGATTGGTGGGCCTGTGGACAGGAGTGCAGACAGGTCAGGGTGGAACCCAGCTCCTCCCTTTCCCTTATCAGCCTCACCCACATCTTTACTGCCTGGGTCTCACTTGCTGTTGTCCGGGCGCCGGACCCGGTTTTCCGCCGAGGTGGAAGACTTGGTTGTGCAAGAGGAGAGCGCCCTGGGCTTTTGGAAGCAGAGAACAGATTGCAAGTGGGTGATTCCTGAAACAGAGCAAGGAACAAAAAAGGATGAGAATGGAGACAGTGTGTGTTCTGCTGCCTTAAGGCATTGAGGAAAGGAGATAGGAGGTAGGGCGTTGTCTAGAACCTGTGAGGAAATGTCAGCCAACAAGATCTGGGATCTGGGTGCGTCCGTCCTTCTCTCTCTCTCTCTCTCTCTCTCTCTCTCTCTCTCTCTCTCTTTCTTTCTTTCAAGGCAGGGTTTCTCTCTATAGCCCTGGCTGTCCTGGAACTCACTCTGTAGACCAGGCTGGCCTCAAACTCACAGATTCACCTGCCTCTGCCTCTAGAGACCTGGGATTAAAGGCGCGCGCCACCACCACCTCGCTACTTTCTTTCTTTAAAGTCATTTTATATTTACTTCTTTACTGTGTGTGACATACACATATGTGGCAATGTGCATGTTTAAGTTAGGGGACAGTATGAGGGAGTGTGCTCATCACAGAGGGAGTCCTCACATGGAGGTCACAGGGACTGAACTCAGCTTCATCAGCCCTGATGGAAAGTGCTGTTACTGAACCATCTCACCAGCCTATTGTTATTTTTTTGAAATGAGGGCGTCAAATAGCCCAGGTTGGTCTCAAGTTCGTCATATAGCCCCCTGTGGATGACTGTGAATTCCTGATCTTCTTGGCTCTATCCAGAGTCTTGGGATTACAAATATATACTTGTTTATTTATGCTTATCACATCCATTCTTGTGATGCTGGGGAATCCAGCCCAGGGCTTTGTTTAGGCTAGGCAAACACTAGCACCTGGCTATGTCTCCAACCCAGTTTGTTTAATCCTAAAAATTCCAGGGGTAGGCTGTCTCCCTCTGCCCAGTAAGGGAACCACGCTATGCCTTCAGAGTCTCCTGCACCTTGTCTAGGTGGACACACACAATTCCACTCTCCACACTCACCTTCTTTATGCTGGCGGCCTTCTTTCCAGCTGCCACCCGAACAGCCCTGGCTGACCCCTTTTTATCACTGCTCCGGAGCCCAGTCAGGCTGCTTGGGGGTGGGGTGCTCCAAGAACTCACAGTGGGCAGCAGGTCTCGGACGGGGCTGTCCTTCAGGACAAATGTCTCCCGTCGAGGGCTGGGCTTCCCTCTAGGGCTGGGCCTTCCAGGGCCTGTCCCAGCACTCTCCCGCTCTCTCAGGGCACACTCCTCCAGCTGAGCTGCCAGGCGATTGGCTTCATCAAGGATCTCCTCTAGCTTCTCTGGGCTGAGTGGGCCCAAGCTGAACCTCACACCCTGGAGGGCAGGAGCTACTGCATTCGGGTTACTCCGATGGGAGAGGCCACGGCGAAGTGGTTTCTCTGGACTCACTAACACTGTTACGTCTTCTTCCTCGTGACTAAAAAACAAATATGGCACCATGCTGGACAACAGATAGCAGAAGGCATTCCTATAGGCAAATCAGGGACGGTTCCAAACCCTGACTTCATTTTGGCCATGAGAACTGCTTTTAGGTGAGGAAAACCTGGTTCTACTCCCATTTTCTGAGACAAGGTCTCAACTCTATAGACCAGAATGATCTCAAATTCAAAATCCCCCTGCCTTTTCTTTTCTCTTTCTTCTCTCTCCCCACCCTCTCTGCACTCTAGTCTATCCTTGGCACTCGCCTCGCACAGGCGGGGGGGGGGGGGGGGGGCCTGCAGGGCATGTCTCCACATGCCCAAGCATGATTTACATTTACCCCCACATTTCCCTCCAGCTTCTTCCTCCCCTCTCCTCACCCGAATGCAGAGATGTATCCTAGAGGGCCAATTCTACCAGACTGTTGGTATCAGAGTGTACTCTACTAAAATACCAACCCCAGTTCTAGAGGTCAATAAGTTAGCAGTAAAGGGTTACAGATAAAGATGTATTGTTGGAGGAAACTAATAACTGGATAAATACCTGTCAGAGGGGGACAGGCCTGCAAAGTCCAAGGTCTCATCCACGACGAACTTGATATCTGAAGGGATGAGAAGAATCAATACCAGCTATCAGTTCTTGACAGACAGACTCTCAGGGCCTCCTTCCTCCCTCCATGGCTTCCTTACCCTCTTGCAAATCCTCCATGCCCAGCCAGCATAAGCGAGTCAGCTTAGACCTGAAAGACAACATGCCTACCTCAGGTATCTATCATCCTGCCTTAGGGCCCCATCCAGACTCGGGGTGCATGAGCTGAGGTGAGGAGGCATGGTGGTGGTAAAGCAAGATCACAGGAACAGCACGTGCCCCTGAAACTAGTCCGTTATACTAGGGAAAGGTGCAGAAAGCTCGTGTCCTAACACCTGATGTGCAATCCGCCAACTTGCGCCCTGGCCTCTCCTCAGTCGGGCAGTCTCCACCTCCATCCTTATTATTATCTGGAATTTTCCTCCCCCTACCCCAGCCATCTTCCACTCCGCGGCACCACATCCCCGCCACACCTCCAGCACACACATCATTTCCACTCCCCACCTGGCCTCACGGTCTACGCAGGAAGCTTTTCTTCTAATAACCTCTCAGTTCCCGGGAATAGGCTCCCGAGGGGCGGAGCTTCGTTCGAATTTCTTAGGCTCCACCCACTCTCGCCACAAACGCGCAGCGATTGGCGAGTCCACGGGGGCGGGGCTGAGGCGGGTGTTGTCGGGATGTTAGCCCGAGAAGATTATCCCTTGGACCAAAGCGCGCACCCCAAAAAGACTCTACGGGGAGTCGGGGGGCCTACGGCGGGGTGGCGGGAGGAGCCGCGAGTGCGCGGTGTCGCGTTCGGGAGCGCCTCCTAACCGCGAGCCAGACAAGGGGAGAGCTGTCCGACCAATGTGGGCTTGGAGCCCCGCCTCTTCCCCCACCCCACCTCCTGGATTCCAGGCTCTGAGACTGGGTTTCATTGCTGGGTTTCTCCCTTACTTGCAGAAACCACCAAATAGACCGTCTCTCCAGCACCCGAGGCACAAGAATTCATCATTTAGCATAAGGCCACTTCTCTGAGATATCTGATATTTTTTCTTCCTGCTTCAACCTCAACCCCAAAACGATGAGTATGAGCAGCTATTTAAGAGTTTAAATAAATAACGAAGAAATCATTCTTTCAGGCACACAGTAAGTAGTAATAATAATAAGAGATTTCAGGGCAGTGCTCCCTAAGTGCAAAAGGATTACCTATTGTTAGAGAACTTGTTCGTGTGGAGAATTTATTTCTTCGCCAGGATGCTGGAGATGTGTGAACTTTAATGGTGGGCTTGTGAAAGTTCAGCAAATAGCACAGTCTGATCCTTAGGGCACAGTCACTGGATATTCCACCACCTTCTACCCTAGGCTTGACTGTTGTGGATGTTGTTGAGTGGCTATGACCTGACCACTCTCCCATTCAATAATACACGCATGCACGCACACGCATGCCCACACATACACCATCTGCCTCTTTCTCCTTTATTTTTTTGTTGTTTTCTGAGATAGAGCCTAATGTAGCACCCGCTGGCCTTGAATATAGCCAAGGATGATCTTAAGTCCTGATCCTCCTGCCTCTACCTCCCAAGTGCTGGGATTAAAGGCCTGTGCCACTCACTATACTATAGGACCATCCTCTGCTGCAAACATCATCTTCAGGAGTTCTGTTGCCCCTGCTCTGGAAACACCATCATGCCTGGGCCTGAGGACTGTTTACCTTCCCTCACAGAAGGAAGAGGTGGAGCAGAGGTCATGGGACCTTCACCTAAGTATGCAGCCATCCATCTCTACCAACTGTATGCAATTCTGTCCTAATAGCACACGGTTTGGGGGGAGGGGCTAGAGGCTGTAAGTGGGGAGAGGCGAGAGAAGGGCTCCTCTGGGAAGTCAACATAGCCACTGGATTCAGACCTTCCAGGGTGACCTTCAAGGTCATCCGTGCCTCCAACCCCTCACCCACTGCTCTGTAAGTAAGCCTATCAAGTTCATTGGTTCCTCTGGATAGCCTCTGGTGACTTCCTGCTGTTGTTTGTCTTTGGGACAGTAAGAGACGGAGTAGACATGTCTTATGTCTCTCCCAGGGAAGAAATGTTTGCAGCAGCCACCAAACCTGGCTCTAGCTAACCATTTCAAACTGGTGTGCCCTAAGGACAATAGATTTGCTAATTGTTTCCTCAGTTTTTCCAAGGCTGGCATGTAAGTAGTAATGCTTTCTTTAGCAGGGTAAGGAGCTAATTTACAACATACGGTAGGTATCACGTGGAAGCTTCCGTCTCACAGAACTTCAGAGAGAAGGGCAGGATAGACCCAGCCTCGAGGTGAAAATAGATCTCTTTGGTTTGAAGAAAAAAAAAAAAAAGCCTTAGGATTCTTCCGAGCGAATCCACATCCCTTTCCTTCTCAAAAAAAAAAAAAAAAAAAAAAAAAAAGTGGCCTAATATCCCTCCTAAACCCGGAAATATTTTCTCTTTTAAGCCCATGTTTCCAACCAAGATTGTCTGGTGACATAGATGAGAGAGATCGTGGTTTGGAGGGTTCTGAGCTTAACTTTCTCATTCGTTAACATGAAGATTAAAAAAGAGAAATCACTTCCATTCAGTTCCTAATGCATAGAAGGCTATCTGCCCCGCCCCCTCCACCCTCCTCCCTGCTCTTCCTTTCCCTCACTCTAGCTCTTCACTAAGGTTCACTAACCCAGGGCACCCAGGGACAAAAGGCAACTTTAGGCACCAGCAGAGTCCCTTGTGCTTATGAGAACCTTTGTCCTCCTGATGACAGTCTCCAGTGGCGGTACTGATTCTCACCGTTATCCATGTGCAGTGCAATCTTAGACTGACAAACTTCCCTAGGGCCTCCCAGGAAGATGCTTACTGTGGTGTGGCAGGACTTTAATGCTGAGGGAACCAAGGCTGCTGCTGAAATCCAATGCTCTACCACCCAGATTCTCTGTTATGTAACACAGCATTATCTTTTATGTAACATGCCGCTTCAGACAGTGATGGCATAGGAGCCCAGCCTGGGAGTGCATTCCTGTCATCCCAGCACTTGGGAAATCAAGGTAGAAGAATTGTGAGTTGAGTCCCCCGCACCCTGCCTCTCCTTACTCCCTTGACTCTTTGAGACTGGGTTTCTCTGTGTATCCTGGAACTTGCTGTGTAGACCAGACTGGCCTCAAACTCACAGAGATCCACCTGCCTCTGCCTCCCAAGTGCTGGGATTAAAGGTGTGTGCCACCACCTCCCAGCTTGAGTTGAGGCTCTTTAAAAAGAATATATTTTATTTTTATGTGTGTGTGTAACTGTCTGCATGTATGTATGTATGTGTACCACATGTATGTGCCTGTCCCTGCAGAGACCAGAAGAGGGTATTTGACCACCTGGAAATGGAGTTACAAGTGGTAATGAATCATGTGGGTATTGGGAACTGAGCACAGGTCCTCCATCTCTCCAGTCCTGGTTTGTGGCTCTTGATGAGATGGGTACAATGGGCATAGAGGAAGGGGAGGGACCGTCAGCATCTTTACAGATTTCGTCACAGAGCATCTTCAGTATGTGACTTGGTATAAGTAGGCAGACAAACAGAAGCAAGAGAAACAACATCCCGAGGCTCACGTCTTGGGGCTCCGCCTTTGTTTGTAGGATTGTGTTGTGCTGCTTGCTGTACTTGAGGGGCATGCTTTCTGTAACACCAGTTTACAAAGAGAAGCCCATGGGGTAAGATGGCAAATCATCTTCATCTTTTTCCAGCACCTCATGCCTCCATAGAAGTGAATGCAGCCCTGTCATAAGCGGGCTGGGGTAAGTGCTAACATCAGAACCTCTGTGGGTAGACAGGGGATGTGCCTCAATTTGTAGAGTGGTTACCTAGCTTACACGAAGTCCTAAATTCAATCCCTAGGATCCCACAAACTGGGTGTAATCCCAACACTCAGGAAGTAAAGTGGAGCATCAGCAGTTCACGGGCATCATTGGTTTGCTTGTGGAGGCCAGGCTGGAATATATAAAACTCAGTCTCAAAAGTAAGTCAGGGCAGAGAGGAAGAATGTGATTCTGTAAGATAGACTGTGTGGATATGAAAAAGAACAGGAGAAAATGAACCTTAGGGTTCTGGGATCAAACAGACTGACCAAAGGACTGTAACCTTTGTCAGCTTTGTCCTTGTAGAAAGGCTCAGAAAGAGGACATTTCAAGAATTGAGGATCTATACATTTATTTAGTCTAGGCCAAGCCAGCTAATGCTCCTTGAGAACACAGTCTTGTCAGAGTCAGGCTCCCCAGGAGGCCCTGAAATGAAAGGGTATATTATAGCCAACACAACAGACAAACAGATTCCGTCCGGGATGTGCTGAGACCATCCTTCTTCATGGTCCAGTGCTATAAATTCACTGCCCACCATGCTTTGCTTCTTAGCACCAGCTGGGAGACAGACAGGAACCACAGTTAAGCAAAAATCAAGACCGACATAACGTGGTATTGACAGAGAAGGCAGGGAAGGAGAAAAGTGTCTATAAGCCAGCTGGCAAAGAGAGCTCTCCTGAGAAGAGTTTGTGCGTTTAATGTAGCCTTTAGGGTTTTCATTTGCTATGTATCATTGATGGGCTTAAATAAATGCCTTCAGGGATCAAATTCATGCTCTGTTTTCTTCAGCCTGGAGCCGAAAGTCAGAGGGAATGCTGGGAGCTAGGTCTCTGTCCTTCTCTCTTGGACCTTTCCTTCACCTTACCCATCGGCTTATGTGTAGCACCTCTCCTGTGAATGACAGGGAATTTGAAGCTGCTATCACATTCTAGATAACGACCCAAGTGGCTCTTTGCCAGTGATGAGCCACTTGGGAACCACATACCCAAATGTTAAATTACTGTTGACATTTAACAAAAAAAAGTGATTTTCTTCTGTTGAACAGGAAGAGATGCATAAAACTCAAAAGAATATGAGCAAGCAAAAAAAAAAATGATATGAACACTGCGTTGTTTCTCACCCTGCTTATGATACTGAGGTAGAGAGATTAGCAGACCTGTCTCTGCCCACAGTGTGGGTCTGTGGTGGTGGAGACTCTGGTCTCTTTCTCTTACTCCCCACGCAGCTCTTCCCACAGATCCCCCTGATTAGGTAGAAGCTCACATTCTCCGAGGATTATTGGGTTTCAACCCTATCAATAACCTACGTAGAAACACACAGGATATGACATAAGTAGACTTTATCTCTCTCTACCAGTTTCCTCTGCAGAGCTGATAGTGTTAGAATTTAAAAAAAAAAAAAAAAGGTGAGTGGTAATGTCAGCTGGTGCCTTTCATCCTAGCACTCAGGAAGCAGAGGCAGGTGGATCTCGGTGAGTTCATGGCCAGCCTGACCTACAGAGTTAGTTTCAGGGCAGCTAAGGCTATACAGTGAAACCCTGCCTCAAAAGAAAGAAAAAAAAAAGTCACCAGGGGCAGATGGTTGAGAGGCTCACATTCATCCCAAACTTATCAGCATTTGCCAGGAACATGAAATAATCCATCAAGATGCCCTTTTCTCCTTTCTTACCTTCCTCGGATATCCTGTCTTCTCAGAAGAGCCTTAATGAGGAGCTGCAAACACGCAGACATTTCTCAGTGTTAACATTGCATACATCTCTGGGAAACTGTCTCTCAGAGCATTGGGAACGGATGTCCCACTTACGCTTTGGGGGTGTCCATAATGCTAGCTGGGGAGTCTATACATGGAGAGGAGGATATAAAAAGGCCCACTCAATCCTGACTCATGCAACAACATTCAGCTACAGTCTTCTGTGTGTCAGCAACTAGGCTGGACACTGGGGACAGAGAGCTTTGTTTACGGTTTAATTGGAAGACAATCTGTAAGTAGATAATTATGAAACAATGTGCTGGGACAATATGACCATATTTAGTGTATTTAGGTATGAGATGCTGAAGATTAAAGAAAGATGTTAAAAATGCCCTCTCCTCCCAAAAAAAATCCCAATAATATGCTAGGTGTAGTGATGGAGAGCCCAACAAGGGACTAATAACCTTCCTGTGCAGCGCTCCTGCACTGGACAGAGATCAGAGGGCTTAAAGAAAGGACCTAGGCTCTTGGCCTCTGGAGTGTCATCTCAGCTAACAAAGCAGCTAGCTACCTCTTCATACGTCACACTGTCCTTTTAAAAAATGGAATTAGTGATTCTTCCTGTACTATTGATTTGTGATGGACAGAAATGAAACCTTGGATGATAAGATGGGCTCTTAGCACATCTTAATGGTAACAGTGACACTAGAGCCCGGGGCAGTTGTGATGGGTAATTGTTATGTCTTCATTACCCAGGAGACACATCTCTAGGCATGCCTGTGAGAGTGTTCTTAGAGAGTTTTAACTGAGGAGGGAAGACCCACCAAAATCCTGGGTGACATCATCTCATAGTGTGGGTGCCCAGGCTGAATAAAAGGGGAACATCCAATGAGCATTAGCAGTCAGCTCTCTCTGCCTCCTGAAGTGTCCAAATGTGAGAAAGCAGTCTGCTGTTCCTCCTGCTGCTACCCAGGTCCACTCCTGCCCTATTGTCTACCCTGTCAGGACAGACTGTGTCGTCAAGCCATGATCCAAATAAGCCTATCACCAAGTCGCTTCTTGTTGGGTATTTAGTCACTGGAGGAGGTAATGGACATAAAGGGGGGGCCTTTCTATCTCAGCTTGTGTCAGTCACTCTTGGAGGGTGGAAGGAGGAGGTGGCTGGCACCAGAGACATGAATTCTCCCATCTTTACCTTTAACGTCCACCCGACAGTCCACGGATGCCTCCCCCAGAGCATTGATGGCCTTGCAGGTGTAGATGCCGCCATCAAAGGGGCTAGGCTTGCGGATTTCCAAGGAGCAGATCCCCAGCTGACTGAGGGCTCTGTACTTTGGGTTGCCTTGGAGGTCCATCTTGTTCTTTAGCCAGATGATCTTGGGCTGGAAGATGAAGGGATGCAGAGCAGGGTAGCAGCCAGCTGTCCTTTCTGAACTTAGTATCTGGGATCCTGCCTACAGGCTTGTAGATGACGACTTTCTCCAAGGTTCCCTGCCACCATGCGGTGCGAGGATTCCCCTTTCAGTACCTTGAGCAAGCACTGGGGCTCCTTCCTATGTCTGAAGAGACTGCCTGAACCCTAGTCCACTTCAACAGATGTCCCTGACTTGGAAGAAACTGCTCAGGACAAAGTCTACTTTTAAAATTTTTAAAAAGTATTTTTGTTTTAAGATTAAGGTCTCATTATGAAGCCTTGGCTGGTTTCACTATGTAGACTAGGCTAGCCTCAGACTCACAGACATCCACCCCTACCTCTGCCTCTGTAGTTCTGTGACTAAAGATAATGTATCTCCACACATAGCTATGGGTTCTACTCAAACACTATTTTAAGATAGCAGTTACATTTGTGTGGGGAGGTGTACTGGTGCTACAACACCTATGGAGGGTAGAGGAAAACTTACAGGTGTTAGCTCTTTCCTCCTACTCTGTGGGTTCCAGAGATTGAACTCAGGTGGTCAAGCTTGGAAGCAAGTGTCTTTACTTTCTGAGCCATCTTGCCAGCTCAGGGTCTCTGTTTTTGTTTGTTTGTTTGTTTGTTTGTTTTTTATGTATCCACAGTGACTCATTCATACTCAGCCCCCACTGTTTGTGAGTGGCTTCTGTGTTTTGAAAGTGGCTTCTAGAGAGACTTTACCACAAGTCTCCATTCAAGGTGTTAGCTCCACACAGTTTGACCTGTTCTTGTAACCCAAGTTATTTGGTAAAAGGCATTAATGGCGTGGACTGCAAAGACCAGATTGCAAGCAGAGCAGTGTGCATGTGGATAGCCCCGCATAGACAAGGCACGGGGAATGAATAAAGAGAAGCCAGCGGGGATCAGACACTTCTGCCAGATAACTAGCTGGAAGTGACGTCTTTGTACACGAGGACCCAACATTCAAAGGGAACATCATCATCCATCTTGGATTACAGACGCCCTGACAGGTCCTAAGTAACCTGCTGTCGAGGAGGCAGATGGTGGCTCTGGAAGCAGATGTTCAATTAGGATGCCCTGTGATATAGCTCAGGATAGGATGGGATGGTAACAGGAAGCAGCACAGGATACCCCCATCCCAGAAGCTCCCCACTCACCCTGGGAGAGGCACGCACACAGCAGAAGAGCTGGGTATCATAGCCAGTGACTGTAGTCCAGTCTGCCAGAGGCTGGGTGAACTTGGGGGCTTCTGAGAGGTCCCGCTGGGCAAACCCCTTGGCCTTGTAAACAGTAGCTGTGGGCATCAAGAGGACCATGGTGCAGCACCTGAGAACTCTGTCCATCTTCAGTTGTGTTTTTTCTGTCTTGTCAGCACATGGTCTTAACTTCCTTACCTGCTTTTTGGATGTGGGCAAGGTCAGCTGTGACAGGGGCTGTGTCACTGAGCCCACACTGGTTCTCGGCAAAGACACGGAAGGCATAGGAGTTGCCAACAATGAGGTTGGAGACAATGCAGCTGGTTCTGTGATAATGCTCCAGTACTGTGAACCAGAGCTGTGGGGTCCCAGGAGATGCCATGTGTGAGATATCAGGGCTTTGTTTGGCTTTTGGTTTTGTTTTTTTAATCTTGCCCCATATAGAGCTGCCAGAAGCTCATCCAGAATGCCTCCCTCCCTTTTTCCCAGCTGCGCCTCACCCCAGATTTTTTGTCAGCCTTCTGCACCGTGTATCCCAGGAGAGCTGTATTGCCTGTATCTTGTGGAGGTGTCCATTCCAGAGTAGCATTGGCGCCCCAAACATCCACCAACTTAATACTCTGAGGAGGACCTGGTTTCTCTGGAAGAGCAAAGCCGTGGATGGCAGTAGGCACTGTGCAACCCACATGTGCTGATCTCACTTAGAGAATACCCTTGGCCCCTTTCTCTGCTCAGATCCCTCCCATCACCTACCACCATGTCTGAGTCTCTGGGATAGCTCCTGTTCAGCCCAGAGATGCTAGAGACTACCTCTTCCAGCCCCCAACCTTACCGATCACCAGGATATTGATGGTGGCCATGGCCTGCAGCCCACCAAGCTGCACACAGAGTTGGTAGCATCCTGAATCAGTGCGTCGGGCCTCTCTGATGAAAAGAATGGAGTCATGCTCCCCATTCCTCACGCTGACACGACTGTTGTCCAGGGCACAGCCATTGTGAGTCCAAGTGGTTTGAGGTTTGGGCTTACCCTGGGGAATGGGGATAAGCTTGAGTATCCCCAAGATGTTCATAGCCCCCCCACACACCCACACACCCTCCTCTCGATTCAGCCAGTCTACCCCAAATCCACAGGATATCTTGGCATGGAGCTGCATTCCTTGAACTAGAGGTATTTTGGTAGATCCCTCCAGGAAGCTCTCTCCTTTCAGTGTAGTCTCTAGAGACAGGGGGATGGCTTCTGAGTCTTTCCCTCTCTGAGAGTTTTGGTCATGGATACTCATGGTAGCTGGGTAGCTGCCCGAACTCCTAAGAGCCCTCTAAAACTGAGGGTCTCCAGACCTCTTCAGACTGTAGAGCCTAGCTTAGCATTACCTCCTCTCATGGGACACACCTGTCCTTGCCAAACCCAACCTTGGGAGTGTGGAATGGTGGTGATCTGGCCTCAGAGTGGTACTGTGGATCTCATTCAAAGCCAGAAAGACTGCTTCACTCCTAGGTCTACTTCCAAGTCAAAACCTTGACCTGGTGCCAACATAGGGCTGGCGTGATCACCTGGAATGGGATTAGTAGATTCACTGTCTCCCCAACCTTCCGGATATAAGTCTGCCTCAGGGCCCGAGGTAGCCAGATCTTGGGGTGCTCTGAGTAACAGAAAGAAAGAGAATAGAAAATGAATACACAGAGGAAGTGAGTACTACGTCCAGTAGTATTCTGTGGGCAGTGGCCCAAGTGACCACCAGATTAAGCCCTTATCATATGAAATGTTCCTAGATATTTCCATTATGCTGGGGATCAAATGCAGCAATCTCAATCACTCTAGTGACCTACCATTAAACCACACACCCACGCCCTTCCCATTGTGCTGGGATTCGGGGAACAGTTGGCTGGAGGAGCCCCTGGAAAGGCTGAGGTCTCCAGAAAGAACATGGGAGCTGGGTATGGCAGTGACTGTCTATAATCTTGACACCAGAAGTGAGGCCAGATGTGCTGCACGGTGAGGCTTTGTCACACGCAACAACCCCTACCTCCCCAAAACCTGGGCTTGCAGCCTGATACTGCTTTTGATTAGTAACTGTTGACTACTGGCTTTCCACCCATTCAAGTTTTGTTCCTTTCCGTGAGCAGACCAGTTTTTACGGCTTGTCTTTCCAGCGGTTTTTCATTTGCTGGGTCCTTAATAATATTGCTGTCTGAGTGAATCTGACCTCCTGGTCGGATGCAGACCTCCAGAGAAGATTTTCTGCCCTGTAGGAGTCAACATCCTGTCCTCACACAGAGGCACTGCAGGGTCATCCCACGGGGAGCCAGTGTCTGGGTCCCTTCTTCTGCAAGGCCACCCCCAATCCCTACAATGTGGCATTCTTATCATCAGTACTAGATCACTTCGTACAAGCAAAATCTGGGGAGTATTGGGGCTGTTTATTACTTGTCCTTGACTTTCAGCACATCCATACTGGGGTGATCTCAGGATAAAGACAAAAGATGCTCAGGGGTCTGCAGGGTTTGGAGCCTGGGCGTCCTGCTCTCAGGAGGATGCTGTGGGTTTCCTGTGGAAGAGCAGACATTCCTCCTGGCTCACTTGGGGATCATTTTTCCACCTACCTTTCCAGGGCTGCTGTTTCCTCTTTTCTCAAAGGCAGCCCTTTGCCACTTTTTATCTCAAATAGAATGTGACAGCGCCTAGGTTCCCACCAACAACCCAAGAAGACTTCCTGCCAAAGTGTATTCTTTGCAGTTGAAGAAGTTCCACCCCTGGTACATTCCTGTGGCAAACATCATGAGTGTCTGACAGGGCATCCCAAGCTTACTGATAATACACGTTTCCCTGAGAGTACATTCCTGTGTTCTCACCACAATACAAGTAAGTTTACTTATAGACTGAACAGCTTAAATACATACATTGTATAAAGTAACCCTTTAAATGATGCCAGCTGAGAGAACATAGACAGAGGTCCTACTGTGTTCCTCTTAGGCCCCACTTTGCAGACTAGCCCCCAACCTCATTATGATCTCAAACCACGGTCTTAGAAGTTAACGTGAGTGCACAGTGCTTGCTGTCTTCCTTTATCTGGTTTTGTTATGTTGCTTTTCTCAGCTGGGTTGGACCTGGGTTGGTTTCTACCCTTGCAAACACTAGTGTTCTCAGTAAGTGCAGGGCAGGCAAGGCACCCAAGCTGTCCAGTGACCCTGCTCCGTCTGCTCTCTGCTGACTTTGGTGGCAGGGGGTGGGGCGGCAACAATGGAGTGTTGTATGATGCACTCCTTTCCTGTGGCCATCTTGGCAAGCAACCAAGGGGTTGAACACAGGCGGGTGTGAGGAATTTATTTTTCTTTTTTAAAAGAGGGAAGTGATTGGAAATGAAGGTCAAAAAACCTCATTTTGTTGGCCTTGGTTGTCCATTGTTGGGCAAGGGAATAACCTTTCGCACTTGCCAAAGAATGGGCTTCTCTGTCCCTCTGCTACCTACAGAATATCGGGATAAAACGGATCTTAGTGAGCACCGAGAAAGGCCAGCCAACTGGAGAGAGGCTCTGAGAGATACTGATTTGCTGATCTCCAGGCGAGGTGTGGAGTTGTGCCTGGCACACAGGACTTCTGCCTCCCTAGCTGGAATCAGATATCCAAAGGATGTGTTTTTGAAGCATGGCTCATCCATGGCTCAGCCATCCAGTCTCCCACCCTCATCAGTATCTTCCTAGACCTAGGTGCCAGACTCAGGGCCTGCTGTGACCTCTAGTCACCCAGAGGAAGAGGAGGAAGAAAGGAGGCAGAAGGCTAGGCTCAAGGACCAAGAAAGGCTGAGTTGAGGGGACAGGAACCAGGCTTCATGCTGGGAGATACACTAGCTAGCCCTATGCTGGGCTTCAGCATCCGGACTTCTTCTGATTGATGTGAGCTGATATAATTTTCCACCTGACATTTCTTGTTACAAATAAATCTTAGAAAAAGTTAGCTTTCTTTTGTCCATATTAAAGAGAAATATGACAGGAGCTAAATCTCAGGCGTTCAGAGCCGGGAGGATTTGTGAAGCAGCCTTTGAGTTTACTGGGGAGTCCGCTGAGGCAGCCACAGGAGGGAGGCCACCGTGGAGATGCTGAGGCTGAGGAGGGTCTCCTTCCCTGAATGCTCCCTGATGCTCTTTATGTATAAGAAGCCCCTGACAAGATGATCATACTGAAGTCACAGGGGTATCCCAGATTCTCAGAGGGTGAATAGATGAAGAGACGCCCCAGGGGAGAGCCACGGATGGCCTTGAGAGTAACCACAGCTGGTCAGTAAGGAGGGTCTGGCAGCTAGAGGCACCTTGTCAGCACTGAGTTCTGTCACCTCCCAAATTCAACCTGGTCAGCAACCCAACCCTTTGCTCAGAATGTTAACTGAGGGCTCCTTGGAGGCCTCTCTCTTTGCACCTCCTGCCAACTGAGGTGTAAATTGGACTGACCTTGGGGAGGCTCCCCTATCACACCCAAGGGCTTTTCCTCCTCAGATGTCAGGGAGCTCACCCTCAGTGTGCTTAGGCCAGGACTGATGGCCACTGGCCTGGCAGGGATGGGGTAGAGCATTTTGAAATGTCCTTTGAGAAACATTGACCTCTGACCTGGGTTGTTCTCAGCACTTTCTCTCCAAGAGAATATTAAGTCTCAAAAATGGAGAGCTTATTTCAGGTCCCAAGATCTTGGTTGTCCTACTGTCTACTCCAGCTTTAATGTGCTGAAGTTTGTGCTCAGTTTTTTTCTATTTTCATAGGAAATAATTGGTCACATCCTTTCACAACTTTCTTCTACATGGTCAGAAACTTTTCCTCCAGTAATCTTCTTGAGGTTGTATGGTCCATATGTTGCTACTAACTATGGCTTGGAGGAGAAGAAAAGAGTAGATGCCCTGGAGGCAGGGAGAGAGGGGGGAGAGACAGGGATAGACAGAGACAGAGGGGGGAGGGGGAAGAGACAGAGACAAGAGAGAGACACACAGACGTATATAAGTATATATGTGTGCATGTAACTGTGTAGATTTGCAATTATGTATGCATACATACATACATAAACAGATGCCTCTGTGAATAAGTTGTTACCAAAACAAGGGCAAGAGGTTCAAAGCCATGTATAGATTCAAAAGTAAATACTTCCAGGGATTCGAGAACTATGCACCAGAACTTCTTAGAGAAACATTTATGGCTGCCAAGGATGTAGCCTTAGAAACTTGTTTGGTAGAATGTGGTCAGAAAAGTACGGGTACCAATGGGTGGACCTCAGTCAGAAGAACCTCCTCGTAGAGGACAACAGTGCCACCCACTTACACTCCTGAAGCAAGATTAGGAAAAGCAAAGCGATATAGAAGCAGAAACTGGTTCTCTGTGGTAGACCCGTCATTCCTCATCTGTCTTGCTCTCGTGGTTAGAGGCTTCGGCCCCCGCTCACTGCCTGAGTTTTCCACATTGCTCCACTGTAATGTGGTCATTTCAAAGTCTGTACTTGTAATCCACACAGATCCTCTCACAGTCTGACTCATTGTATTAAGGTGGGGAGGGTGGCACCAGATTTATGAAGCGAGGGCCTGACGGCTCCGAGGTATGGTTGAGGGGAAGGTCTTTATCGTAGGTATGAGGGAGAGTACAGCCAGAGGCACCCAGAAGAGTCCAGAGCAGGGAGAGAAAGTAGTGGGTTAAACAGGACCAGCAAATGGAACCAAGCCATGAGAGGAGAGAGGGGGCCAAGAGAACAGAGAGTGCATGGCTGAATTGGCAGGCTTATATAGATAGGAAAGAGGCTGGAGGAAGGGAAGCCTGCGAGCTGGAGGAGTTTAGGGGAGGAGCTGGAGGAGTTTAGTGAGAAGAGCTGAGATGGAGCCACAGGTACTGAGTGAGCCTGGAGGCCAGCAGATACTTTGCTCTGCTAATAGGAACTACAGCTAGCCATGTGTCCTGAGTTTGTGACACTCACTAGTTCAATGCCTGCTTCAGCCATTGGTCACACTTCAGATCCAGACACTGCGACCTTTCTGCGATCTGACTTAGAAGTGTTACACTCTTTCTACACCTTCGTAACAGAGACAGCTCACTGACCACCAACTCAGATGCTATGTCTTCACAGTATAGTTATCTCTGAGCGTCGGCGGCCTCAGCAGGAACAGTTTCCAGGCCCCACTGCTGTGGGTCAGGTACCAACTCTCTCCAATGAAAGGAGGATTCAAGGGGTGGGGATTGCTTCAGTGCCAGGGGTAGTAAGAAGAGACTATTCTCTGCCCCCAAACTCCTGCTATCAATAGGCAGATGATCATAGGGCCCCTCAAGTGTCAAGGCCCCCATAGAAAAAAAGGATAGTATTCCTGAATTGCTTCATGGAAATTATCTACTTAACAGGGACACTTATTTCTAGTTCTGTACTAGGAACAAGAAGCTCAATTGTTTTCCAGCTCTGCTGGCTTCTTCGGCTGGTACCCAACTGATACAGACATTTCCTTCCGCTTTGCCTCTTCCTGAATCCTACCATATCGCAATTCTGTCATGCCACTGAGACATGTTACCCAACCATGCATCCATTTCACTCTGCCTGTCACTCCCCTACCAGCTCGGAGTCCATGGTCATGTGACATCCACTTTCTTGCACCCAGACCCTTCATCTCTCTTTTACTTCATTACACCCTCTTGGCAATGCTTAAAATAGTCAAATAATCCTTCCACCCACACAGCGTCTGTGTGCGCACAGGCAAGCGTATAGGAGAAAACAACGGCAACACTAACCATGCTGACATGACATCAAATACAATGTACATTCCTACGAAATTCTTGACAAATAGACAATGTATGTATGAGACATGACACCTTAGAAAGGGGTATCAGAGTCCCTCCCTCCGTCCCAGTATTGTCTCTTCCCTCGCTATAGCCACAATGGCCCAACCCTTTACGAAGAACATTCCTGTCCCAGGACCTTTGTACTTGACCTATCTACAGAGAAAATAGTCCACTTAAATATCTATGATATTACTGCTCCAATTGTACCCTATTTGTAAGGTCTTTCCTCACCATCCCGTTTGGAACATGAAGTTTGCCTGTCTCCCTGCCCGCAGCACTTTGCCTCCTTCCCTCTGTTACATTTGGCATCATCTGACCCACACTGTTTGTTTGTTTATTTATTTATTTGTCTCTCTCCTTCTATTAGAATATAACTTGAGGGCAACATTAAGTAACTGTTTATTTTTGTAACCACACCTAGGATACTGTCTAGCTTATAACAGGTAAGGAAGTAAATATCTGAAGGGGAAAGAAGGAAAACCTGAAGGCAGGTCGGTTCTTCCTGGGCATGAATGAGATGGGCTCCTATGCCTAGAAGACCCTCAGAGGGATGCGTGTGCACAGTCTGTTGAAATCATCAGTTGACCTTCCCTTCTCTGGCTCAAGGCCCATACTCTCCTACTCAGGGGTCCAGCCCCTTCCACAGCCTCCTCTTTGGCTCCTTCGGGCTTTGACTCCCGGTCACAGTACCTCTGTGGGGCACTGAGGTCAAAAGGAGCCAGTGCCAGCTGCAGCGTCCGGCCGATTTGGTCACGTGGTTAGACTAAAAGCCCATCATTGGTCAGATGGAGCTTGTTCTGATTGTGCCAATGAATGTCTGCCTGCTTGCCCTTTCCTACGGTCACATGCTCCCCGCAGCACCCTTCAGACCCTGTGCCCTCTGTGAGGAACAGGCAGTGTTAGGAGGCAGATAGTCTTTGGAACTCTCAGATAACTTAGGAGTCAGCAGGTCCCATACTGAACATCCTTCAGAATCTCTGGATGGGCTCCAGAGGCCCTGTGAACCCCAGAAAACTTTTTTTTTGGGGGGGTAAGGTTTCCCTGGGAGTCCACAGCCATCAAAGGGATAGGATATTGCCCATGTTCAGCTCTCTCGATTTACAGAGGAGAAAATGAGGACTCAGAGAAATGTCCTGCTTCTTCCCTGGTGGCAGGATAGAGCCTAGATTTGAACTCACGCCATCAGTCTTTCAAGAAGCTAGTAGATGCACACAGATTTTGCAATGTGTCAAAGCATATTCTTACTGCCACTCATCTCTGTGGAGCCACTCGCTGTGGCCCTAGGCCTGCACTACACAGAATTTCTATACAGGAGGCTGAGGCTTCTGGCTGGCACCTGGAGCCTGAAATTGCCAAAGGGAGCTGCCCACAGCACCCCACCCTCCAAGCAGAGGAGAATGAAGGCTCAGAGAGATGTCCTGACCCTTCTCTGGTGGCATGGTTGAAATTGATGCCACTCCTTTCAGAGTTGGGGAGTTAGTGGTTCTGGGTTTTCACTCCCTCTTGGCCTTTCAGGGAAAGGAACTGTGTTTCTGTCTCTACTGTCTCAGCTTAGGATGCTCACGGCAGCTCTATCTCAATGGCATAAACCCCATCAGCTCTGACAATCAGGCAGCTGAATTAGGACCTTCCTTAGGGTAAGGAGTGGACAGTTGTGCTTTTGGGCCCTAGTTGGAGACAGAACTTGGTTGTCATCTCTTTCTTGGAAAGTTTCCATGTTGGTTTAGCCTCTTCCAGTGCTGATCAGCCATTCTAACTGGCCTTGTTAGGAGATGTTTAAAGTCAGTTTACAGAGAAGAAACTAACATGGAACAGTTGAATTGATTTGTTCAAGGTCACTGTGGTGGTAGAGTCACTCTGGGAAAGGAGCCTGGGGCATTGTCTGCCATTATTTTTTCTCCTACCACTTTTCTTTCCAGGAGTTCATAGACTTCTCATGTGTGGTTTTCAAATCTTCTGCAAATTTAAGGGGTTATAATGCTGGGATTTTGTTGGGCTAAACGTTTAGCCCAGCAACAGGGCTGCTAAAGACCGTCACAAAGAAGGGAAGAGCTATTTCTCACCTCTGCCCTGAGTGGACCCAGGTGCAGTGGAGACACACACAGTGTCATTCAGTTCCCAGCAGTTGCCCAGGTAAGCTGTTGTGACAGTTGGCACTGGGGCAGGTAGCAGGATGGTGGGGCTGGGGTGGGCACCACATACCCTCATCTGGAAACTGGAAATGGAGTGCTTTCCCCTGAAAGGCCCTTCTTCCTCAGAGCTCTGACTTTGAGAGGCCTTGGCCAGTGATTCAGTGTGGGGTGTTAGGGGCCCTGATGCTGCAGCATGACCCAGGCAGAGGCCGGGTATCACGCTGTCCAAGATACTCAACCTCCTCAAAACCAACAGTTTTGGAATCATTCTTATTCCACTACATATTGACTCTCTTTCCTCCGTTCCCTTCCCAACCAGGTATTTAGTCTACTGGATCCTCCAGGACTTGGGACTATTTTTGATGGTAAAAATATAAACAGATCACCGCTGGTCACTGTAAAGTGCCACAAACATCATTCACTGACTTCTCAGCTAAAGAATAAAATTACAACAGAGACATTTGAGTAGCAACTCACAATTTGAGAAGGGAAGGTAGGGGTCCCCAGAATATTCCTGCATTATCCTAACTAGAAGTTCCCTAAAGTTATTAAAACACAGGGCTGGGGGGACCCCTAAAGTATATTCAGGGCAGTAGGAAGTTCCCCCCTCCCACACCACTAAGCATCCCTACCCTACAGACTGCCACAGGTCACCTTCAATAGAGGGCAGGAGCTGCAGAGAGGGGCTGCCTGCCTCCTGTTGACGTGAAGTCCGGGGTCCTTCAGCATCCGCTGGGTCAGCAGCTTCTTCTACCAGCCGCTGGGAGCATGAAGCTATCTCCAGCGTGGTGGCTGTCTCCATGCTGGGGTCCAGCTGAAAATTCTTTGTTGCCGTCGAGGGAGGGGCTGTGCACCTGCTGTCCAGGCTGGTCTCCCTGGGGTCGCAGCCACAGGCTTATGTAAGTGGGCTGACTTTTCCCCACCCACCTACTCCCACTGAAGGGAGAAGTAGGGGCCAGGAGAAGAGGAGGATCAGAGAGTTGCCCAGAATAGCCACAGGAGGAGGGCTGAGGTGGCCCTGATATCTTGGGAGTGAGATGACACCCCTACAGCATTAGGAGGGAGGAGAGAGTGTGTGCACAGAGTATATGAGAGGGACTTCTGGCTTTGGGGGGTGGCTGAGCGGTTACGTCTGCTCCTGACTCCCACTCACTCCAGGGCGTAAGGTCCCAGGACCAGTGAGCTCTCAGGCACACCTTTAGCTCTTCCTACACTCTTTGAACAGAGGTCATTGAACAGAGGTCTGCATACCTTGGCCTTCATGGGTCCCTCCCTTTGCTGTCCCAAGGGCAGGGGAGGGTAGGAGAGGAGTGGGGATAGTTAGTCCTCTGTTGCCAGACTAGTTGGCTACACTTGAGCTCTGTCATCAGCTAGCTATGTGACTAGTGACACCCCATAATCTCTCTGCCACTCTGTGTATGTGTGTACTGGGGCTTTTCTCCCCTCCACTGTGTGTGTGTGTGTGTGTGTGTGTGTGTATTTGTGTACTATCTCCCCTGCACCCCTCCATGTGTGTATGTGTACTGGGACTTGCCTCCACTCTCCCTTGTGTGTGTGTGCATGCATGTGTGTGTGTGTGTATATATATACTAGGGATCCCCCATGTTGTGTGTATGTGTACTGGGACTTTGCTCTTCTGTGTGTGTGTGTGTGTGTGTGTGTGTATACTAGGGATCCCCCATGTTGTGTGTATGTGTACTGGGACTTTGCTCTTCTGTGTGTGTGTGTGTGTGTGTATGTGTACTGGGACTTGTCTCTGCTCTTCTGTGTGTATGTATATGTGTGTGTATATGGGTTGTGTGTGTGTGTGTGTGTATGTGTAGATTAGGGCTCCCCCTCCATATTGTATGTGTACTGGGATTTTTCTCTGCTCTTCTCTGTGTGTATGGTGTGTGTGTATGGGTTGTGTGTGTGTGCATACTAGGGCTCCCCCCATATTGTATATGCATTGGGATTTTTCTCTGCTCTTCTGTGTGTGTGTGTATGGTGTGTGTATGTGTTGTGTGTGTATATGTGTGTTGTGTGTGTATACTAGGGCTCCTCCCATGTTATGTGTGTACTGGGACTTGTCTCTGCTCTTCTGCATGTGTGTGTGGTGTGTGTATGTATGGGGGCTTGAACCTGGGGCCTTGTGCTTGCTAAACAAGCCCTTTACTACAGAGCCACTGAGCTACACCTAACACCCCCAGCCTCTCCTAAGTTGGGTTTCATTTGTGAGATGGAGATAATAATAACCATAGGGTTGCTGTGAGGATTAAAAGAGGTAATCTCTGTAAAGTGCTTAGCAGAGTGTAGCTGACTAAGTGCTGGATAAATGGAAGCTATTTTTAGGTCAGACCGGCATTTCCTCCTTTGAAAGCTGTCAATGGCTCTCTTCCTATGAGATAAAGCACAGATGAAGTGAGAGGCAGCCTCCCAGGGAAGGAAGCTCCCCAGAGACAGGGATGTGTGACATTTGGCTGTACTATTCAGTCACCAGCTGATGGCTCTGAACCTCAGGTCTGTGAAACAAGGGATGCTGATGGCAGAACTGTGCCTAGGATCCAATGGCCAGCTCATAGTCAGTGCTAGCTAAACCCAAGAGTCCCCAGCTGACTGCCATGTTCATCCAGACATTCCACTACACACTGTACCTTCCACCCAAATTATATGGTTTCTTATCACAGCCCCCCTTTCCTAATTGTATTTATCTAAAAATTTTTGCTTTTTTAAAAAATGTATATCCGTGCATCATGTGCATTCCTGGTGCCAGTGAAGGCCAGAAGAGGGTATCAGATCTTCTAGGACAAAGTGAGCTGCCACAAGGATGCTTGGAATCAAGCCCAGTGCTCTAACACACCTTTGAAGGTCAGAGGACAGCTTTCAGGAGTCAGTTCTCTCCTTCCACCATGTGGATCCCAGGGACTGGACTCAGAGAGCCAGGGTTGGTGGCATCATCTTTACCTGATGAGCCATCTTATCAGTCATGTATATATTCCCTTTTTTATTCATTCATTCATTCATTCATTCATTCACTCATTTTACATCCCGACTGCTGTCCACTCTCCCACAGTCTCTCCTCCCATCCCTTTCCCCTTCTCTGAGTGGATGGGAACCTCCCCGGTATCTCCCCACCCTGGCACATCGACTCTCTGTGAGGCTAGGTGCATCCTCTCCCACTGAGGCTAGACAAGGCAGCCAGCCAAGCTAGAAGAATGTATTCCAAGACAGACAACAGCTTTAGGGACAGCCTGTGCTTCAGTTTTTCAGCACCCACATGGAGACAGAGCTGCACATCTGCTGCATACATGCAGGAAGCCTAGGTCCCTTGGTTAGTGTATGCTCTATGGTTAGTGGTTCAGTCTCTTGAGAACCCCCAAGGGTCTCCTCATATTGTTTTTAAGAGGTTTCCTACTTCGACCTGGGGCCTATTGATCAGGCTAGGGTGGCCACTGAGTTCCAGGAATCTTCCTGTGTGCTTCCTGGGCACCGGGATTTTAACCTGGGCTTGGAGACTGCCTTCATGTTTGTGTGTGGGCAATTTACTGACTGTTCTCTCCAGCTTAGGGGGACCACTTTAATCCATTCTTAGCTATTTTTGTGGAGAAAGTGGCCTAAGCCTCTTATTTTAGCCCCTCCCCTTGTCCACTTGTACCGTACATGTAGAGAATTATAAGGAATCAAATTTAAAAATACAAACTCCTCAGTTTGCCCACTAGAAAAATCCAATTCAGAGCTGGACATAGTGGCACTCACTTGCAATCCCAGTACTCTGAAGATGGTGGTAGTAGGATTATCAATTTTAGGGCAGCCTAAGGTACACAACAAGTTCTAGGCCAGCCTGATTCTGGTGCTTGAGAGTCTTGGGATATGTTAGAATGGCTTAAACAAGATTGGATCAATCCCTGGCATCTCCAGACTGAGATATGGGAACACTGAATGGAAATATTAGCTCAAAATGCTATCCCAGGGCACAGTAGGATAGCTAATGGCTGGCTAATGGCTGAAGGCAGGAAGCTCCTTCAGGTGACACTTGTACATGAGGAGGACCATGAGAGGAGCCAGGGAAGATGAGACACATGCAGAGCCACCACCTTCCAGTGTTCATTTGACAAATCAGCTACAGGGTGTAGCCACATGTTGTTGTATCCAGAAGGGTAACAGCAGATACTGGAGAAAGTGTGCAGTGGGCGGGCTGCTAGGCTCCCACCGAGGGAGGCGGACCTTGACAGCATAAAGATGGAGAAAAAGGAAAGACAAGGAGTTAGAAAACTCACGGGCAAGCAGCCTGTTTGTTTGGGAGCCATTTCCTCATAAATTGTCTTCCTCCCTTCATGCGAGAGATGCTCTGCTGACTTTCAGGTCGATGCTTCTCTGGTTGCTGGAGTTTTGATTTTTGAAGGTAGAAAGCTAGAAACACTCGCTAAAAAAACCTGTAGCTTACTCATCTTAGTAGGTTAGGTGCCAAAGTCCAAGCTGTTTTTATTTCTAACCCAAATATTGCAAATATACAGAAAATTAACAGTACAAAGTTAAACACATCCTGATTTATTTACACAATGCTAAAGAGATTTTGCGTTTTATTTCCATTTTGTGGGATGTCATTATGGGGTCTGGCTTTGCTGTATAATTGACACAGGTCTTTGAAACTTGATAATCCCACCTCACATGCAATGTTCCGTCCCAAGTGGGCAGAAGTCTGGAGTTTTCAGTACACATGCAGTGGTGGTCTTAATCCTGCTTCACACTGTCCCAGGAAGGCAGCTGCCCCTCACAGCCGGGGGAGGGGCCACATGCTCAGAAAGGGAACAAAAGACAAGAGGGGAAGACAACAGGCACGTGGGGGACCCTGAGCGTTTCTGTGCATGGGGGTAAGGAGAATGCAGCCCAAACCCTTTTCCCTGGAGGCTCAAACACAGGGACTCAGCCGAGCCGCCAGGGGAAAGGAAGTCCCCTGACCACAGCTGAGGGCATGCGGAGGATGAGAACTGCACTAGAAATTCGGGCATACTGATAAATCATTAACATGTACACTATACAGTTTATACATGTATATATGTACACACACACATATATATAAAGGTACAGATTAGCTTGTGTTATTTCATATAAACAGATGCAGAGAATGTACCGGTGTGAAAAAGTGCACATAGCAAGTCCTTGAAGACAATTTCAAGTTAATGCTCCAATTCTTACTGTTATAACACATGGAACCAAGAAACCCCACCTGCACCCGTGGTTTCAACAAGCCCATAGCAGCCTGCGCCTGGTGAAGCACTGGCCAGTGGGACAGAAAATCTGGCACCTGCTTGCCGACTCAGGGCTTCCCTACATCATCATATGGCAAATCTTAAACTTTGGTTTTGTTCCAAAAGACATTAAAGTTCATGTTAGTTTCCCCTCTGGTAGGAAGGTGATAGAAAATGGAGGTGTGCCCCGCCCTACGTTAGCAATCTGATGCATCCCTGCTGAATATGGAATTGAGAGGGCCATACTGACAAGTGGGTGAGCCCTTTGCCAGTGTGCATAGTGGTGGGGCTCTTCAGAGGACTGGAGGACTCTCTGCCTATATGGTTTACCTGCAGAACAATAAAATGAGAGACATCATGCCAGCCCTTTCATTCTGGGGCTTATTGGAATGGCCCTGCACCCCTCTCAGCATCTAGTATCCTGATGACAGGACAGTTCAGTATAGTTATATCCAGCCATGGTTTATAGGCCCGACCAATAAAGGAGCTGAGGTTGGCCTATAGTACTACACTGCCAGAGAGGAAGGGCTAGGGGATTAGAGGTAAGGCCTAGAGCACGGGACTGCCCGCCAGAATGTAGACTCACAGGCCGCGGGGTCCAAGGCTCAGTTGTCAAGACTGACAGCTCCTTAGCCCACCCTGCAGTTGCTGTCACTCTCCAGGGCCTCAAAGCAGTGTTCCATTCAATCACAGGACAGGCACACTCAGCCATGGCAAAAAAAAAAAGTTTTGGATTTAAAACTCAGGCCATTATGGATTCTCTGATATGTCTGAGCCACCTAACAATGTTAAATGCTACTGCCCAAGTCTCTAGAATCAACCCCATCTGCCACTACAATGCTCTCCAGTGATGCTGGTGACACTCCAAGGCTGTGCAGGACCAAGCAAAGCAGACTTTTTTTTTTTTTTTAAACCAAACCAAACCAAACAACAGCTTAAAGAGTTTAAACTGCTGGCTGGGATTGCACGTTTGTACATGTGAATGCTTCTGAGAGCCATTGTAGGAGCAGAACCCAAGCCAACAGAGCCAGCAAGCTTGAGATAGAAGCAAAGGGGCAGAGAGGGCTCATCCAGAGACCGGTCCTGTGCTCCACAACAGTGACTAGCCAAGGGAGAAGGGATGCCCCTCATTACCATCACTTTTTATTTCAGCCATGAAGCAGGGGAATAAAATTTTGTTTTCCAAAAAGAAAACAAAAAGGTGTCAGAATAATGGTTCTGCAGGAAATGGTCCTCGGTCCCAGCAAGTCGCCCATGAGACACTCTGCTGCAAGGCCCCAGGGGCTTGCATAACTACGGTTCAGAGCTCTGAAGACCCTGGGCGGCTGACTCAACTTTGGCTCCTGAGCTCTGTCTACGGCAAGACTAGTGTGGTGCTCAAAAGAGAACTGATCCAGAAACTGCCAAGTTCTACAGAGATCCCAGAAACCATCAGATGCAGAGCACCCTAGTCTTTGATGGTTAGGGATGAGTGTTACGTCCATCCAGACACTGGGAAGATCACTATACATTGGTCCATCTACCCACACCAACCTGGGAATATGCTGGGAGAGAGAGTGTGTAGTGGAAATAGATCTCTCCCTTTTGGCAGGAGGTGAGGGTGGACAGAATTTTGATAAGTTATGAGCTGCTGTATCTTTGGAATTATTTTAGAATCATTACAAAATGAACAAGCTAAAAGACTAGAGTATTCTGGCTCTAACAGATAGTCTCTTCCCAGAAACGACCTAACTTCATTTTCTAACTGATATTCCATGAATCATTTAGCTGCAAGTCAGCATCTCTCTGGCTCTCCCTCCTCTTCCTCCCCCTCTTTCCCTGATGCTGTTTGTTCCTCTGGGGAGGAGAGGACTCAGCCATCTGCTCATGCATTCTGACAAAAGTTAGTTTGGCACATTTACTTTCCACTGACTTTCTAGCCACAGAATGAAGTGACAGCAAAATGGATCTCCTAAAGGATGTCCTAGTGGTAATTGGGAGGGACTGTGATCAGCACAGCAGGCATGGGGAGACCAGAGACCTACCCTACCATACCATCTTCCTGTCCAGTTAACATCTAAGCTGTATTCAAATGAATCACTACAGCTTTCCACTACCAGATGGCTGCCCCCACATCTGCCAATCACATTCTAGAACTTATTTAATTTGGAAACATATCAGATAGAAATTTTCCTTAAATTTAAAACATGAAAGCAATGTATCAAGCACACACAGCATCATCTAGAATGTGCCTTCAGTGGGGTGAGCCAAAGGGTTCTGGACAACAAATACCTCAGCAAAACTAGGGGAAGGGTGAGGATAGGCTGGTAACATAACTTTGAGTTTGAAAAAGTCCATCAACCTGAAAACATTCCTAGTTCCAGTTCTATGAACAGTAGCAACTTCGGAGGAGGCAATAAGCAGCCACGTTCAACACTGAGCCTTTACAAAGGGTGATGGAAAAAATGGAAGCCTAGGACTGTCAGTCCTGCGGCTGCATTGTGCACTGAACAATGAACTCCAGGTAAGGGATGGTGGCGCCTGGGCAGGCTTTGAGGCCAAGCCTCAAGCAGAGCCCCTGGCACACCACAAAGCACAGTTTGAAAGAGCGCAGAAGCAGTTTTGTCTTTAATAGGTCTTAGAGCTAGTCAATTTTCTGATGCGCCCTCCTTCTTGCCACAAGTAAAAATAGTGCCCTGTAAGTTTCCCCCATTTAGTGTGTTGGAAGCACATGATTAAGTTAGTTGCCAAAGGGCAATTAGCAAGGGTATTGCCTAATTAAACAGGAAAGGAAAAGTCACTGTGCCCTATAGTCATGGATGAGGAAGTAGGACCAATGCACGTTCCTCTTTGAACAAGGCTGTCCATGGATGCAGAAAAGCCGGCCAGGCAGTGCCAGTCGCTGCTGTCCATGGATGCAGAAAAGCTGGCCAGGCAGTGCCAGTCGCTGCTGTCCATGGATGCAGAAAAGCCGGCCAGGCAGTGCCAGTCGCTGCCCCTCTGTTTCCTTCTCTGAGGCTGCTTCGCATGACTAGCAGAGCCCAGGGACAGCACCAGCCATGCTGTGGGAGTTGAGTTGATGGTGGAGTTGGCAGATGCCCTGGGGCAGGCACCAGGTGGAACACACAAGAGCGGGGGTCAGTGAAGCAATCCCTTTGAATCCCAAGTCATGTCCCTTAACACACAAAACAAACCAAGAGAAGCCTAAAGCCCGCACTTTTACAAAAGACAGAAATTGAAACAAAAATGTTAAAGAATTTAAAATTTCCCCCCTCTTCTCAGAGCCAACTGTGAGATCAGATGGGGTCCCCCACCCCACCCTGCTTTCTTTAGTGTAGGTCCTTTGGGCTTGGATGGAAGCGGCAGAAACAGAGCTGGGGCCGACGCAGTGGGAAATTTATTTCCCCAAGTCAGAGCCTCAGGGAGTGTAGGAGGTACTGAGGCTCCGTGCACACTCAGTCCCAGCTCCTCTGAAGAGCTATTCCAGGAGGTCCTGAAAAGAAAGACACATGCAGTGTTACTGACAGATTAGGAATCTATTTTGAAAGCAATCGCCTACCTGCTCTGTGGCTCTCCAGGGCAACTTCAGGAGCATGTACAATTTGGTCCCAGTTGTATTTTTTTAAAAAAACTTAAAATAGATTTACTTATTTTCATTGTGTGTGTATGGGAGGCCAGAAGAGGGTACTGGATCTCCTGGAACTAGACTTCCAAGGAGTGGTGAGCCATCATGTGTTTGCAGAGAATGGAACCTGGGTGGTCAAAGAGTTGCGAGTGCTTTTAAACCCTGAGCCATCTTTCTGGAGATTGTCTCTATCACAAGGATAAAAGTGACTCTTTTTAAGACTTAAATATTTCACCAGGCTGTGGTGGTGCACACCTTTAATCTCAGCACTTGAGAGGCAGACACAGGCCTTGGTGAGTTTGAGGGCAGCCTGGTCTACTGTACCTAGAGCTAGTTCTAAGACAGCCAAGTTTGCACAAATCCTGCCCTGAAAACCAAGCAGATTAAAAAAAAAAAAACCACTTAAAATTTTGGATAATTCCTCAAGAAGAAAGTATCTTACCTCATCTGAATCATCGTGATAACCGCTTTTAGCGTGGGAGGCCGTATCCAAAGCCTCCACTCCGTCAGCCTCTGCGTGCTGCTGTAGCACAGAGTATCGGTGCACCAGGAACCTGTGGAGGGGACCCTGGTTAGTTTCCCGAGCTGAGGAGGGAGCATTTCTTACATCATAGAGTTTCCTCAGTTTTCCACACTCATGGCCCCATGGCATGCAGAGATACGATACACAATCTGGACCTGATCTTCGGGGTTATCATTAACTCCCTAGTGTCCTCCAAGAGAACCGGACCACATGGGATGAGGTGGCTTTTGGTTTGGACTTAGTAGCCCTGACCCACTTCCCCATTTCTTACCTTCCACCACAGACATATTTCTTCACAATGAGGACTCCTGCTACAACTGTGACAAGCATCAGCCCCACGATGGCCAGGATAATAGGGACAGAATTTGACTTGGAATTCTTGATAAATTAAAACAAACAGAGCAGCAGTTAGGCATGCAGAGTCTATGGCTGTATTCATACGGTCCAACACACTTAGCCAGGGTATGTCTCCACCCCCCAGATGACAGGGCTAGCACACCAGCACAGGGAAATCTGAACTCCAGCTGCCTGGAAGCTATAGTGTAGGGCCTTCAATGTCAATCACAGTGGCAGGCTTGGCAACTGTCTCAACGCAGGCATGTCCAACCTGTCATCTATAAAGTTCATGTTTGAGAACTGCTCAGTTGAGTTACGGGGAAAAAAAATCCCATGAAGAATTCATGTTTTAAATAAGTTTACACTTTTGTGTCGGGCTGCCTTTATGGCTATTCTTGGTTGTACGCAGCCCTGGGGCCAAGGGTTGGACATGCCTAGATCACTGTGGTCGCTATGACTGTTCCCTGTCCCTTGTTTACAACTCCTGGAGGTTATGGGTGGAGCAGGAAAGGGAGACTGAGAATAGGGTGCTGAATGAATCCATCACTAGACTGTCATCTTTGAAGATGTGTGTCAATGCTATTCCAGGCAGGCCGTTATATGTCACGAAGATTTCTGTTGTTACTAACTTTTGGCATGTTTTTACAGATAAGCCTTATCAGATCATTGTTTGCGTGTAACCTACCTGCTTCTGGGTAGGAGATAGGAAGTGTGTGTTTTCAGTGTATCCAAGAGGAGGCGGAGCTGGATTCTGGGACAAGCTGTGTCCCTGTGGGCGGGAGTCCTGTGCAATCACACACACACAAACACTCTGAGGACAGCCACCAGCAGTCCAGGGCAGGGGTGCAGAGGAGGAGGAACTGCCCCCCCCCCACCAATACACACACCCACACACTCTTCCCTCGTTGCCTTTAGAATCCCGCCCTTGTCAGTGTCTCCTCCCTTTGAACAGCAGGGAGGAGGTGCTGGGATTGTCAGGTGCTTAACCTTTCATATTACACATATGGAAGATGGGCCTTAGGTTATCTCCCAAGTCACTGCTGGCCCTGTGCTGCTTGACCAGGAGGCCTCCCTAATTACCTCATCTCCAGAGCTCCACCAGACAGATCAGTACCACTCTTCCTATGACTTGATGTGAGGTGGCCCATTATGAGGTGGCCCATTATGCCCAGAGCTCGGCTTTTGTTTTAGCACACTTGGCATTCGTCAGTACAAAGGTCCCTACCTACTTACTGTGCAGGGCTTGCCTGCCGTGTGCAAATCTCCACTCTATGGCCCTTCATGGTTTTATTCTTTTGTTATTTTTTTTCCAGAAGCTTGTTAGTATTTAAATATTTACTTTTGATTATAAGGTGTGTGTGTGTGTGAGTGTGTGTGTGAGTGTGTGTGTGCATGAGTGCATGTGAACATGTGAGTGCATTGCCCACAGAATCTAGAAGAGAGTGTCACATCCCTGGAAGATGAAGGTATAGGCAGTTGTGAGTGGCCTGACATGGTTGCTCTAAACCAATCTGGGATTGTGTGCAGGAGCAGCGTGTACTGCTGAGTGCTAAGTCATCTCTCTATTCCCGACTGTTTGTTCTGGAGACAGTGTCTCATGTAGCCCAGGTTGACTTCGAACTAGCTACGTAGCTATGCGGACTTCTGATCCTCCTGCCTTAGCTCCCAAGTGTTTGGGTTACAGGTGTGCATGGCTGTTGATGTGTTGCTGGGGACTGAAGTCAGGGCTTCATGTATGCTAGGCAAATACTCTACCTACTGAGCTACAGTGCCCTGTCCTGTCCTTTCTATTTTTAAACCTTTGGCTAACATGTAAAAAGTTCATATATCATCAGGTGATATATCAGATGATATATCAACATGTGTATCCCTCCCTCACTCAGCACAACTCTTAAATCCTTTCTTCTGAATGACTCTGGGCCTCAGAAACTACAACTCCATGCTGCTAAAACTTTTACATGACACCATTTTCCCCCAAACACAGACCATCTTTTAGCAGGATGAGCTTGCCACTGGGGTACAGCATGTGATGGGTCCTTCATCCTGACAGCTGCCCGTGCAAAGATCTTCAGGAACACTGTGCCCATCCCGTATTGATCCCTAAGTATAACTTTGGTTCTTCCTGACAGAATGTGAAATCCCGCCTATCCCCAGAACCTAGGTTTGTTTTCAACATACCTGCTTCTTGGGGTTCAAGAAGTTGCTTGTGCATTTCTTTTTCAAGTCTTTTACTTCTCGGGTTGGATTCATCCCTCCTTGGCATCTGTCTCCTGGGATTTTCCGGTACCTGAAGGGCAGAGGAGCTTGGTCAGAGGCTGGCAGTGGCTGTGTTGGTGTCTGGGGAAGGCACAGAGACAGCAGCCAGGGCTTCTTGGCTGGGTGCACCCGACCACTGCTTTACAAGAGTTGCAGCCATCCTGCCTGAGGCTGTGAAGGATATGGAACCTTAAAGAAGCAAGTTTATGAAAGTCTCCCCAAACCCCAAAACAACAAATTGGAAGCAGCAGTGATGCCAGGTGAAGGCTGGCTGCCTATAATGAAGACTAGGAGATGCCCGTGAGCAAACTGGGCTCTAAGCTCACCGCAGTGAGGAGGAGCTCTGCTGAGCAGCAGGGAGCCAGAGAGCTGCCTCGAGGCTAAGCCACGCAATGCAGGAGACATGTTAAGTGTCTGTGTTAGTCAGTGTGCAAGAAGCAACTCACACATATGTACTACATATACAGCGCCACATATACACAGCACACACATGCATACAACATACACACACACACTATACATCACACACACAACATCTTTATTAGTATGCAACAAGCAATTCACACATACATACCACACACACATCACCACATATACACAGGACACACACACACACACACCCAACATACACTATATATCATATATACACACAACAAATAACTATATTAGTTAATGTGCAAGAAGCATCTCACACACACAACTGCACACTATACACTCCCCCACATACTACATACATTGCATACATACACCACACATCACATACATATGATAGATATCTGTAATAATGTACAAGAAGCATCACACACACACCATACATATCACACACACCACACACACACATACCACACACTACATACCTATACCACAAACATCACACATGTCAATGTATTAATGTGCAAGAAGCATTACACGCACACACCATACACACACACCATATAAACACACCACACACATACACACTACACATACATACCACATATACACATACCACATACACCCCCCCACAAACACACACATACACACACATGCACGCACACATGTATACTTACACACACACAATACACACACGCATGCACACACACACACAAAAATAGAGATGAGGAGAAAAAGAGGAGGAAGGAGGGGTGGAAAGATTTTTTTTTTTAACCAGAATATATTCCTGGGCTCTTGCCTCTTTCCAGAAATCAGATTTGAAAAATGCAGAAAGTTCTTGTCTCTGGGAAACTGAGGAAATCTGAACATAGCTCTGGCTTCACTTGCTGTTTGCCTCCACCTTTAACAGACTTTAAAAGGCGCCGGCTCGGAGCCCACGCAGCTGTTTCTCACCAGCTGAGTTGTAGCACTTCTGATGATGATCACGGTGGCTTCTGTTCATTTTCAGGGGCTTTTGTTTTATTTTTAAGACAGGGCCTCACTAAGTAGCTCTCACTGTTCTAGAACTTACTAGGTAGGCCAGGTTGGCCTTGAACCTATAGAGATTGGCCTGCTTCTGCTTCCTAAGTGCTGGAATTAAAGATGTGTCCCACCACACCTAACAATTTTCAGGGGATTCAAATGGCTACAACTCAAATGACTATGCAGGTGACCTTTTGAATGACCCAGAATAATTCAATGGGTAACCTTTTGACATTAAAGGATCCAAAACCTCCAACCTGAGACTATGGGAGCACCATTTCTGGGCGTGTGTGTGTGTTCTGTGAGGAGCTATGAAGCTAAGTTACGCATGTGGCCATATTTATTCATGCCCACATAAACCACTTTCCCCTTCCTTTCTCAAGACAGGGCTTTCTAAGTAGCATTGGCTAGCCTAGAACTAGGTGTGTAGTACAGACTGCTGTTGAACTTAAGGTGACCTCCCAGCCCATGGCCTGAGTGCTAAGGTTACAGACATGCGCTGCCCCATCACGTTTCATCCCATCTTTCCCCACAAACACCGCTAAACCCTATCTTAGGACAGCAGGTTTCCATAAGCTTGGCTACCTCATCGGGAAGTCCTGTTTTACGAATGCATTATTTTGTTGACTGAAATATTATGAGGCAGGAAAAATGTGCATGGGCCCAGGGCTGGAGGCAGGGACGGGTGCTGTCTATGGGGATATTTTGTGTTGTTTCAGGGCCTGCACAGACCTAGCGTTTCTATGTGTTGCTGTCAGGCACATATCTGTCCCTTCAGACTGTACCCAAAACTGGGTCCTGGAGAAAGCTCATCAACAAAGTAGCATAAAAATGAGGGAGGGGAGTCCCTGGGAGAGCACCGGCCCCTGTGGAGGCCATTTGAATACAAAATTAATGAAAGTGGAAAACTAGGTCCTCATTTGCACTGCAGTCAATGGCCCCAGGAGGCCATTTGGACATGGCAGATGACAGAATACTGTGTCATCACAGAAGGTCTACTAGACGGTGGTTTCCTGAATGTCCTGGAATACTGCTCATCCAGAACAGTGGCGATAAACTGCTTTGGCCCAGAGCAGTGAGATCACGGCAGGGAGAGGCCGCCTTACCCATTTGTTGTCAGGTGCTCCTCCTTGCCGTACAGACAGAACTCTAACTCATGCCCCTTCAGTTCTGGCTGCTCCACACACTCCGAGGCGTTCTCTGGACGGAAGTAGCCAAAGTCACTGTAAGAATCAACAATAAGCATACTTTAGAAGTTGCCTGCCGACAAGCCAGCACGAGACTGGTAGGTTCAGTTGAGATTCCCATTGAGGGTGCTCCATTTGAGGTGAGAACAGTTGCTGAGAATGGGCTGGGAAAGCTATGGTGTCTTTGCAGGTACATGCTAGAATCTTAAGTGTCTCCCGCAGGCCTCTGAGTTAAAGATGTGGTCCCCAGTGTGGAGCTACTGAGAGGTGGTGAAGTGTTTAAAGGATAGAGCCTAATGGAACCCGTTGTTTTTCTTTGGCTGCGGGGACTGACTTGCTCTGTCTCACATTTCTGCCCTGAGGGGCTGCTTGTGGTCCGGGACGCTTGCATGTATATTAGCATGTGTATATGTCCATGCCCAAGCATGGAGGCCAAAAGTTCATGTCAGCTGTCGTCCTCTCTGCCTCTCCTCATTTTCTGAGACAGGGTCTCTCATTGATCTTGGAGCTCACTGACTGACGAGCCTGGCGGCTGGTGAACTCCAGGTCCCTCTGTCCCCCCCATCACTAACACTGAGGCTGCAGATGTGTGTTGCCTTCTGGGGGTGCTGAGGGTCAGAGTTCAGTCTCATGCTTGCACAGCAAGCACTCCCTGCCTGCCCCATCCATTCCACACCATCTCATCCACCCTCCCTTCTGTGTTCTCCCATGACGAGAGCCAGCGAGATCCTGCCTCTTCTCCCAGGCTGACTGTAGACATGGGTAGCATCCATGTTTTGGGCCTGCTTTCCCACTACCCTGAGTCTGTGCACAGAGAGTATGAGAAAGGACAGCCACTCTCCTCCGCTAATTACTGTCTTCTCAGTCTACATGCCTACCCTAGAAATCATTCCCTTATGTTTTAATTGGGTAAATTTCTCCCTCCCTCTCCTGCTTCCCTTCCCCATCTCTCTCTTGGGATTGAATTCAGGGCCTGATACATGCTTTGCAAGTGCTCTAGCCCCGAGCCCTGTGTCTAGCCATATTTCTTGCAAGAATACTTTTAATTACCTTATTTTGCTCATTTAGACTATTACCCACCCCCAGCCCCTAGTGCTGGGGACTTAACCCAGACTCTCACATGTCATACTAAGCAAACATGTTACCACTAAACCAAACTACACCTTTAGCTCATTTATGTTTTGTTTCCTGTGTTTTGACTTTAACGCCTTCTGCAACCTTGGAAATGAATGTCTAAGGCCCCACGAGGCTTAATGCTCATCAAACCTAACGTTTTCTCCTCCTCGGTTCTATGACTATTTACAACAGTACCTTTCTTCCACTATCTGAAAGGGAAATTTAGCTTAATGTCTTCAACCTGGACTCTGATCCATATTTTTCTTTTTAAAAACATAGCTCTAGCAGGCCTGGGGCACACTGTATAGATTAGGCCAGCCTGGAGTTCAGGGGGCTCTGCCTGTCTCTGCCTTCCAAGTGTTTCTGACTTCTCACAGCCTTCCTTGGTGTGCTGCTGGGTGTCTAAGATCCCAATAGTCCACTGGCTTCTATGATCCACTTTGGTCATCAATACTCAGCGCTGCTACCTCCTGAACAAGCTGTTCCACGATCCCCCTCCTTTCAGCCACAGGGGACCCTTCTCTCCTCACCTACCACTTCCTGTGTGTTTCAGTCTGGTGAGGGAAATGGATGAGGTTTTCAAGCTGTGCTATCTTATACACTGAAGGTCAAGGGGGAGGTTCCGAGGTGCAGGGTGAGGACAGATCTTCCTCACATAGGAAGCATTCTCACAAGCCCACACTCTGCAGGATCCCAGCATGTTAGGAGACAGCGGCTCTGGGAAAGAGGCCCCTGGAAGCCAGGGACAGGACAGGACAACCCTTCAGAGTGACCCAGGCTTGCCTGACAGACAAAGGTGAGCTCAGTGATGCTTCCTGTGGAAAGGAGGGTGGGAGGGGCCACACAAGGTTGGACTTGAGTTTCCTTCACTGACATCTGTAGCTGCACTGAGCTGTCATCTGTAGTTCGGGGAATTTGACAAGGAGACAAGAGTACTAGCTGCCCTTTTTGTCCAAGTGCTTTAGGGACCTAATTTTACTTCCTGTCTGTCACAAGCAGCAAGTTATCACCTTCAATATGAGGCAGTTCTTATTTGTCTCAAATTTCCTCATTTAAGTGACACTGGTCTCTTGCATATAAACTAACACCAGACCACGTAAGTACCTAACTCTTGATCCTGATGGTCCTGAACTTTAGGGAGTACATCCTGGTGGCCACTAAATTCACTGACCTAGGCACAATGAATATGCTGATGTCACCTCTAGTCTCAAGACCAAATCACCAACCTTCAATCCGCAGTCTTGCAAATGATCCAAAGCCTAGAGCCTTCCAGAAGCTGCCTGCCAAGCCCAATTTCCTCCATGCTCCTGAGCGACTTTCCCTGTTGTTTTTAGTTTATCGTTTTGTAGACTTCCCCTGCAACCCTTCCTGATTTTTAAAATTTAATTTTTTTGAGACAGTCTTATGTATTCCAGGCTATTACTGAACTGCCCCTACCCCTGCCCCGTCCCCCAAGCTGGGATTACTAGCATGAATCAACACACTGTTTATTTGATGCTGGGGCTTGAACTCAGGGCTTCATGTATGCTAGGCAAACCCTGTACCACCTGAGTTGCATGCCAGACCACCTCTTCTTATTTAATTTCTGTCCATATCATTACCTCTAAGGTTGGACAGTGTCTGTGTCCAGTGACCATCCAGCATGATAAAATAATCTGTTAACTGTTAGTAATGGCCCCTTTCTCTGCACTTCACTTCTGTGGACAGCAGGCAGGAGTTACTTAGTCTGGGGGAAAGGGATGTCAGTATTTTTTAGCTGGACAAAACAACCATTTTTCACCTCCCTGCACGTGGGACAGGGGCTGACAGAGGGATCTGAGGAGTGCTGATACCAGAGAAAGTCCTCCAGGGAGCACGGACAGACGGATGGCTGCTTGGCCACAACATAGTCTCGACCATTCTGACAGACGGATGACTTCCGTAGCCGTAGGAACTGTTCTTTATAGCCCAAAATGCAGCCATCTTTGTAATCTCCAGGGTCTGTGGAATGTGCCAGCCATGTGGTATAGTCATCCTCTTCACCTAAAGGACAGACAGAATGTTCAGGAATTGGCATAGCACACAGCCCACCCACAAGAGAAAGGCAGCTGTCAGGCTCAGGGAAGGAGTGGGGGAGGGAAGGGAGGTGGGCTGATTCAATCTCTTGCTTCAGTTTGGAGTTGCAAACACAGAGTCACTTTAGTCTAGAACCCACTAGCAGCTGCACTTCCTCATAGCAAAAGAAGACTCTTCTCCATCTTGCTTTCTGTAGGGAGATTAAGTGAAACCTTTGTTTTAAAGGGAGGCTGTAGAGGGAGCGCTAGAGTCTTCTGAAACCAAGAGGCTGCTGTCTGCCTTGATGGCCTGGTCCCTCCATCCCAGGAGCTGTCACAGACAAGCAGCCATGTTTCCCATACGTTGGCCATTTGTTTAGCATACGACACCAACAAGAGCCCAGATTCAATGTTACCACGCATACTTGGCTTCAAGCAGAAGGGAAAGCAGCCTCCTCCTAGCTTTTCTCTAGTGCCCACTGGCTCTACGACTGCCGCCATCTGCCTCTGCTTGAGCATTCTACATCATCTGCTCGTAGGAAAATGCTCCTGGTCGGAACCTAAAGAGTGCCGCCTGGGTTTTTTTACTTTGAGGAACTTGAGGACCATCGGAGAGCCAGCTTGCTCAGGGACAGGTGTGTAACAAATATTTTAACAGTCTTAAGCTTGAGAGCTAATGTAGAAGTCCCTGCTGAGGATGAACTCACAAGCCAGCTCTGTCCACCTTCTTTACTGCATTTAGAAGCCAAAGGCAATCAGGTTATGAGTCACACTTAAGTGTCTTATAGAAAAGGAAGTGCAGGCTGAGAGCCCTGCATTACAGGTGCCGCAGGGTGAACATGGGGGTCACCCGTGTCTGAAATGACTCCAATAAGCCCTTGATTGTATGATGCCGACAGTGAACGCAGGCACCTTTCCCGCAGTGTTTTCTTTTAGTCTACATCTTTCTTACTGAGACGCTACACTGCCGGACACTTCCTTCCTGGAGTCCTTCACACCTGCCCAGAGTTTTAGAGCCTCGGCTAGGACTCACATCCAAACTAAACCTGCATGTGAAACCCCTCCCTTCAGTGTTCTGAGTAAGTGGATAGAGAGAGATCCTTTCAAAACTCCCTCCAAAACTCGTTTTCTAAAGTCCCCGCGCACCCACTGTCCTACAGAGGGATACCTCCCAAAGTCACAGAGTCACTTTAGACAAACAAGTCAAAAGAATGTCTCATAAATGGCACAAAAGATCCTTCCTGCTGGGCAAGGCTGCAGGGTCCTATATGGCAGCCCCACCCCAATCCTCATCCCCTCACCCCCCCTCCCACTCCCGCCAAGCATGGCTGGATGAATTGACACCCCCCACCCTGACCTCCCACCCCCGCCAAGCATGGCTGGATGAATTGACACCCCCCCCCACCCTGACCCCCACCCCCGCCAAGCATGGCTGGATGAATTGAAACTTGCTTGGGGATGCTGACTTAAAGAAACCGTGAACTATCAGTATCTTTCATATTGCTTACGTGATAATGATGCTTTAGACACTTATAGATAATTCCACCACAGAGGTGTAGTTCACCTTCTATTTTATAACATAGCTAACAGAATACTTTAAATTATACAGATGCCCCTTGTATTTCTTGTGGACAGCACTAGCCCCAGGATTGCTTCTCTGCTCCGTTGCTGGACTGCCCACGTGGAACATCCTCCCCGTCGCCTTTCATATGCATATGCATCTCATTATCCTGGTTGAAAGAGATTCCTCTGAATTCGTTATTTGAGAAAAGGAGTTTATAGATTTCTGGTGGGAAATTCCAAAGGAGACACTCACAATTCCGCTCAAGGATGTCTTTGAAATCAATTGTGTAGGAGACCCACTGGCGAGTAATGAAAGACTCTGTGAAGCCCCAGATGCTGATGTTCATGGACCTGGCTCCAGGCTCGGAAGCAAGCCCGGTGAAGTAGATGGGCTCCTGAGTGAACACATAGCTCTGCCAGCATTGGCCTTCATCTGTGGAGAACCTGAAACCCAAGTTAGAGAAGGATCATGACAGAGGACCAGCATGGACTGGGGGTTCAGGAAAGCAACCTAGCCTTTGGTCCCAGACCAGGGGACACTCTTGGATTTAGAGGGTGACTTACGTCTGAAAATTACTTTAATTTCCAATACCTCTAGTTAGCAGAGTATGAGAAAGGATTCACTCATACAAGCATGGAAGAGAATACTTCTCTCAAAGGAAGACAGAGGTATGGCCCAGGTAAGAATGAGTTTCTAAATTAATAAGTTAATTCTAAATTCCTAAGAACTTAAGATAGACTTGAAATAACTCACATTACTTTATAACATGTGAACTTAGGTTAGAAATTAACTTAACTTGGGCATTTCTACATTTTGGGCAGTGGAGAGAAAGAAGATCAATATTTTTCATTTAATGGTGGGTGTGGAAGGGTTGTTTTTAACTTACACCATGTGCATTCTGGGTACTGAACTCTGACTGTCAGGCTCGGCAGCAAACACCTTTATGTGATTACTCGTCTTGCCGGCCTAAGAAAAATAGTCCTTTTTTTTTTTTTTTTTTTTTTTTTTTTGGTTTTTCGAGACAGGGTTTCTCTGTGTAGTCCTGGCTGTCCTGGAACTCGTTCTGTAGACCAGGCTGGCCTCAAACTCAGAAATCTGCCTGTCTCTGCCTCCCAAGTGCTTGCTGGGATTAAAGGCGTGCATCACCACTGCCCGGCTAGAAAAATAGTCTTAAAAAGTGATAAAATACATAGCTAGGAGAAGGAAAAGTAGCGTCACCTAGTCTGGCTTGCTCTAAACATAATCCCTGTGAAGGAGAGCCTTTGCCAAAGTTCTGCAGAATCTAATAATGTAAACCAGGGTCCTGTGGCTCTCCCTGCAGTAAGCCCAAGAGCTCTCCCACCACTGCCTTCTATGCAGATAATGTGTGGGGAGCTGAGAGCATGCATACTTAATCACATTGATAGGACGGTTGCTGTGCTCAATGGCCACGATGATGCCTCCAGAATCCAAGATGGTATAGTAGTGTGGTCCTTCCAGCATCTTTGCCCAGGAGTAACCGCCATCATCTGAGATGTACACATCTGGGACCATCACCGAGATGGCATCTCCCACACTACCTGAAAAGTAATTGACCATTAGCATCCATTAGCAAAGAAGCCGAGAGGATTTACTGACAAGAGGAAAACTTTTGAGTGAATTTACTGTATTTGTCACCAGGCCTGTTGTAGTAGAATGACGGCCATCAAAGCCTAGCTGCTGCTCTTGCCAAGCCCAAAGAATTGTTGTAATACAGGAAATTCTATCAAAGGATCATATTCTAGTCACCTTAAGCTGTACATGTGACACAGCTTAGCATTGTCTCAGGGAATCGCAAGTTGAGGTACTGCCCAGGTCAGATTGGGTTATACCCACATTTATGAGAGATTGTCTTGATTAATGATTGACAGGGCAGGGACCCAGCCCTCTGTGAGCACCATCAATCCTCTAGGCAGGTCACTTTGAGTTGTATAAGGAAGTTAGCTAAAGATCAGCCTGTGAAAGATCAGTCAGGCGCAAACAGGCTCCTCCCTGATCCCTGATCTGACTTCCTTCAATGATGAACTGTAACCTGGAAGTATAAGATGAAATAAATCCTTTCCTCCTCAAGTTTCATTTGGTCAGAGTGGTTTATCACAGCAACAGAAAGAAAACTGGAACAAAACACAAAAGCCACCTACTTTGAGGGTGAGCTCATGGTGTGTGTGTGTGTGTGTGTACGAGTGCACGCACAAGCTCAAAGGCAGTGCAGTCTCCCTGTGCTTGGTGACTCAGTCCATAATGGTGAGAGGGAGGGCTCCTTACCATGAGCGATCACAATGCCCACGGCATTAGGCTCAGAGAGTGGGGCCATCGGGACGTTTAGCTTCTGGGAGATGCTATAAGAAGCATGGATGTGAAGGCTGCACTGTGAAGAGAAATCAAAGCCCAGATTAAAACCAAAGGCTTGACGGCCTCAATCCTTTCACAGACGCAATAAGACTGAATTGAACTTAAACCTCAGTGGGCTGATTTAAAAAAACAAACAAACAAACAAACAATAACAAAAAACAACCTGGTAGAATTTATTTAATAAAATGTATTATCTGGCTTTTTAAGTTTACTCTTAGTATATTCTCAATCAGCCTTCAGAACCTCTTCATCCTGTAAAACTGAAACCACCACTTTTAAAGCAACAAACCACTTCTGTCTCCTGTAGCCTGAGAAACCATGTCCCACTTTTTGTCTCTGTAGATCTGACTACTCTAGGGTCCCTCTAGGATAGTCATTCATAGGAATGAACCCCACAGAAAACGTCTTTTTATCATGGGCTCATTTCACTTATAACAATGTCCTCAGGGTTGACTTATATTAGAGCATTTGTCAGAATTTCCTTCCTGTATAAGGCAAAATAATATTCCATCTTGAGTAGGGGTGGGGAGTATATATTATATTTTATTAGCCGATTCAACTATTGATGGGGTTCTACCTCTGTGGCTACTGTAAATTGTGTTACATAGACAGCTGGCACAATTGTTTTATTAAGATTCTGTTCTCTTTTTTTTTTCCCAGCTGGGGATTGTAACCAAAAGCTTTACACCGATTAGGCAAGTACTCTACAACCAAGATACATCCCTAATCCTTATTTTTAAATTTTTATTTTTATATTAGGTCTTACTAAATCACCTAAGCTGGCTAGTTGGCTGTTCTCCTGCCTCAGCTTTCCCTAGGGGTTGGGATAACAGACATAGGAGACCATGCCTAAGCGCACTTATGTTTTATATGAGCCCAGAAGTGGAACTGATGTACAGGTTAATGTTTCACTGAACACAGATGTCAAAATCCTCAACAAATACTAGCAACTAAATTCAACAGCATGCTGCTATACACCATGACCAAGTAGGAGTCATCCTTGGAGTGGCAGGATGGTTCAAAGACATGAAAATCAGTTTATATGATATAGCACATTTTGCAGAATGGAGGATAAAAAAACATATAGTAATCTACATAGACATCTTCAGAGATGTTTGATAAAAATCAATGTTTTTCTGTGATAAAAAGGAACCCTCAGACTGTGAAATACCAAAGCAATCAAATAAAAGAAGAAGGGGAAATGGGTCACATTGCCCTACAGTGCTATAAAGCTACAGTCATCCAAACAGCACGGTGTTGCTATAAAAACAAACATACATGCCAAGGGAACAGGGCAATCATAAACCCACACATGTATGTCTAATTAATACTTGACAAAGAAATTGAGAACACATGAAAAAATTATAACTTCAATAAATGTTGCTGGGGAAACGGGATATCTACATTCAAAAGAAGGATTTGAACTCTGATTTCATATGACCTAAAAAATTGACTCTAAGTAGTTAGAGGTGAATGTAAGACTAGAAACTAAAATGCTCGCAGAGAACACAGGAAGGCTTCCTGACAGTCTAGGCAGCAACTTTAGATTTGATCCTGGGAACACACATAACAAAGAACAAAAATGTACAAATGAAGTCACATCAAATAAAGTGTTTCTGCAAAGGGAACGGCAGAAGGGTGAAGTGACGGTGGACAGAACAGAGTTGTCTGCACACTACACAGAGGACAAGGGACTGCATGGCAAGACACAAATACCTAACTTAAAAAATGGGCAAAGAGCCGGTAGTGGTGGCGCACACCGGTAGGATTTGCTGAAGGAGGCAGAGGCAGGAGGATCACGAGTTCGAGGCCAGCCTGGGCTACACATTAAAAAAAGAAAAAAAAATGGGCAAAGAACAATGAAGCCATTCTTCAAAGATGGCAAATAGCCAGGTGGTGTTTGAAGAAGTGTCTAGTGTCATTAATTGTCAGGGAAAAGTACATAAAACTACAGTGCATCGTCTAGTCATACTTGTTAGAATGGCTGTTACCAAAAATACAAATGGTAACAAATATTGCTTAAAGTGTCGGGGAAGGGCAATCCTTTCATGGTGTTGGGGAAAGGTAACTGAAGCTGTCACCACACAAAATGTTGTGGTGTTTCCTCTAAAATGTAAAGACAGGGGTGCCAGCAAGTCTACTTAGTGGTGTTTAGCTAAGAGATGAAGTTAGAACCTCGAGGCAATGATAACTACAGTCTACATGCACTGTGGCTTGAGATAGAGAACCAACCTATGTATCTTCTTCTTCTTTTTTTTTAATGATCTATTTCTATTTTATATGCATTTGATATTTTGTCTGCATGCATGTGTGTGTGAGGGTGTCAGGTCCCTAGAACTGGAGTTACAGAAGTTATGAGCTGCTGTATATGGGTGCTTTGAATTCAATCTGGATCCTCTGGGAGAGCAGCCAGTGCTCTTAACTGCTCAGCCATCTCTCCAGCCCCCAATCTATGTATCTTTTGCTAGATGAATGCATAAAGAGAGAACACAGTACATGCACAATGGGATGTTTGTCATTCTTATACAGGAGAGCCTGCTGTCTGCAACCACATGGATGAACCTGGGAGGCGGTATGCTATATAAAATAAGCCAGGCATGAAAGACAAATACCACATGATGTCACTTAAATGTGGAATTGTCAGAAACCACTAAACTCATCAAAGCAGAGAGCACAGTGGAGGCTGCCAGGGATCAGGAGGCAAGACGGGTACGAGCGATGTTGGCCCAAAGGTTCTAAAGTTTCTATTTTGGACAAGTAAGTTCTGGAGAGCTGGTAAGCATCGCGGACAGCATCCTGTAAACTGTGAAACAAACTTGAAATCTGCTAAGAGAATAGACCTAAACGCCCGCATCGCACATAAGAAAAAGATGGCTGAGTTAACTGATGTGTGCATTGATTAGCTTGACTATGGTCATGTATACAGATAGGGAAATGTCAAACCATTTAATGTCAAATATATGCCATTTAAATTTATCAACGATACCTCAATGAAGCTGAGGAAAAAAACAAATGTCAGAAAGCAGGCAAATGTGTGAAAGTTTAACAGCGAGTGCCGTTCAAGAGGCTCAGGTGAGCCAGGAGTGTAACGTCAGCACTTAAAAGACAGAACTCCCAGCTATGGATATGTATGAGCACGGGATTAGCCTGGTCTACACAGGACCAGTCAGAGCTGCGCATGAGATCCTGCTTCAAACTGGCAGACAGATAAATCTCAAACGGTCACAGCAGTAAACATGATGCCTTTGTACTTTGCAAAAGGCTAAGCCAAATGTTAGTGGAATAAGAAGGATGACTGGTTCTAACTGGATGGGGGCTACGGAGGCCTGGGACTACTGCAGATTATAACTAGCTGGAGTTTGGGGAGACAGACATGACTTCTGTGAAGACACTGAGAGGCCACAGAGGGTGTGTGGAGAACAGCAAGGGTGTGTCAGTGAGGAGAGGTGGACAGAGCCAGGCAGGACAAAGCCTTCATTCACTAGAGGGGCGCAGTCTTTATCCAGGAAAGCGGAACCAAGAGAAGGTCCTGAAGGGAGAGGCAGAGGAGCCAGAAGGCCTCAAGGAGAGAAGAGGCCATCACCCCTGCCTCGGGAATGGTGAGCTGGGCAGGGGCAGCGCAAGTCCAAGGCAGAACAGAAGAAGGGTGAAGAAGACAGAAGCAGATGCTTTAAGTATGGATACAAAGGGAGAGTGTGAGACTCCTCACAAAAAAACTCCAGGCTAGAGAAGCAGAGTGGCCCCGTGTGCAACAGATCTGAGAGGAATGTGGGAACAACCAGCTCACTGTTGTTGAACTAAGTTCTTCCAGGCTGTACCTACCCACACCTATAATATATATAGTATAATATGGTAATGTTATGAACGGCTGTTCTTTAACTCCTGAAGGACTTCTAAGGCCTTACCCTTGAATGTAGACCCTTAGCTAACAATCAGTACATCTGTCCATTCTGTCTTTCCTCAGAAACTTGGTAAAATGGTTGTTACTCCATTTTGTTTTTCTTTGAAAAAGACAGGTAACCTGCAGTGCCTTGGCCTTTCCATACAGTTCCTATTCACAAATCCTACATGAACTCATTATTCTTTTTTCCAAGCCTTCCACCCTCGCCTGTGGACCCTGACCGAGAATGAGATCCCCTCAGGGAAAAGCTTAGCACTAGCAGGAATGGGGCGGGCTGCCTGCTTTTCTGCCCACACAGATGATGGCTGGCTCCAACAAACCTCATTCTTGTTCTTTGCAGTAGCATCACACTTGCTGTTCTCCGGCTTCTGCAGGTGCTCCCACCGTCCTCCCTGGTCAAAAGTGATCATGCTCTGAATGGAGTTATCTAAATGTGGAAAGAGTAATGTAAGCCCAGTGCATTGAAGAAGAGTGATGTAAGCCCAACCCACTGGGGGTCTCAGTCAGCCAGCGACAATGGAGATGTTCCTCTCTCCTGAGGAACCACATCCATCCATCCATCCATCCATCCATCCATCCATCCATCCATCCATGTATGTTTTCATATAAATGCATATTCTACGTTGAGCACATTTCCCCCTTTCTTACCCCCTCCCAGTCCTCTGACTCTGGAGCCCCACCTTAACACCTTACACAGTAGGTGAGTAACAGGCCAGAAGAGGGTTACCATCTGAATGCCCCAGCTAACTCCAGAAACCACCTGGAACTGTTGCTACTGAGAAACCCCAAAGCTCTCTTTTATGCTAAAATTTGGATCTTAAATTCCCTCCTCCCTGTTCAGGTATTCACAGCTTGGTTGCCAGACTGAGACTAGGCCAATGGGTGGAAGTTCAGTCACTGGGGCTGTGTCCTTGAAGAGATGTCATGATCTTTGTCTTCCCATGTCTGAGGTGATGGGTTTTGTCTCTATTATACATGATGTGGTGCTGAAGACCTAAAAGCAGTGGGGATAACCAGCCACAGGTGGAAACTGCTAGAACTGTGAGCAAGATAAGCTTCTGCAGCTGGCTGGTGTGGCGCACACCTTTAGTTACAGGCACGCAGAGCGCTGAGTTGAAGGCCAGCCTGGTCTACAGAGTAAGTTCCAGGACAACCAGGACAGAGCTACACAGAAAAAAAAAATGCTCTTTATAAATTGATTGTCTCACAAATTCTAAATTCTATTTTAGTAACTGAAAGTCAACGCACTGATAAGTATGAAGAAGCAAACGTTCATTCTTCTTCACTGTGTGATGCCTTGGAGAAAAATCTAGGCAGGGATCCTAATTTTTACTCAAAGGCATGACACCAAGCTTATTTTAGGGATTCTCCAGATTACTTATGTCTACTCCTAGATTAATAACTTCTAATTAGGATTTTGTTCCCAGCATCCAATATCCTATCTGTCCTACCTAGGGTCACTACTGCTGTGATGTATCACCATGACCAGAAGCAAGCTGGTGAGGACAGGGTTTGTCTTACACTTCCACACTGCAGTCCATCACTGAAAGAAGTCAGGACAGGAATTCAAACAGGGCAGGATCCTGGAGTAGGAGCGGATGCTGAGGCGGCATGGAGGAAGGCAGCATGGCAGCATGAGGGGCGCTGCTTACTGGCTGGCTCCACATGGCTCCTTCATCCTGCCTTCTTACAGACCAGGACCAGTCCAGGGATGGCACCACCCACAATGGTCTGGGGTCTCCCCATAAATTAAGAAACCGCCGACAGCCCGAGCTTGTGGAGGCATTTTCTTATTGAGGTTCCCTCCTCTCCGATACTTCAGCTCGTATCAAGTTGACATAACACTGGACAGCACACCATCCCTCTGAAGTCCTTTTCTTTTACAAAATGTTAAATTGCATTTATTTAACTATCTGTGTGAACATATGCCACAGTGTGCGTGTGGTTGTAGGACAGCTTTGGGGAATCTGTTCTCTCCTACCACGTGGTCCCAGGGATCAGCCCTAGGTCATCAGGCTCAGCAGCAAACACATGCACCTGCTGAGCCATTTTCCCAGTCCTCCCTCTCTTCTTTTCAGCCCAGTGTCTCCTTCCTACGCTCTCAATCATATAAACTGCTGTGGTTTAGGTACAGAAATGATATGCTCTCAAGTTTCAAGGTACATCAACCAGGAAGGCAGATGGAGGAAAAATCATTTATTCAACAAACATTTATTGAAAGGTCTGTATTTAAAAACCACTGTATGCCTCTGGGAATGACACAGACTGAAGACCCTGTGAGGGACTAGTGAAAGACTCATTAGGAAAAGCACTTGCTGCACATGCCCGAGGAGCTGAGTCTGAGCTCCAGAACCAACAAGAGAAGAAAAAAACAGCTCCTGAAGGCTGTCTTCTGGGCACACAGGAATATGTGAACACGCATGCACGAGTGTGGCACACATCACCATCATCACTGCCACCACCATCAGCACCAAAAGCTTATGAAGTGTGAATTCCAGTGGATGAAACAGATATTAGAGATGGTGCATATGTGAAATTACACAGATGCAGGGCAAATGACATACACTAAGTGCTCTGGAAAACCTTTTAGACACCTAAGGAGGACTGGAAATGTGTGCAAGGATGGGAGTGGATATGAATTTAAAATAGGCTAGTATAGGCAATTCTCCTTCAGAACGTAACACAGGAGCAAAGACTTGAAGAAGCACTTAGCCTGGCGGACACCTGAGGAAACTGACCTCCTGGCAGATCTGTGAGGGATGGATGTATGTACCTGGTCTGTTTGAAGACTGGCAGGGAGACAGTGTGAGTGCCACAGAGCAAATGAAGGAGAAAAAGATGGAGGTGAGGTCAGGGAGGGAAAGAGGAACCAGTGTCACTTGGGACCTCATAGGCCATTGCAAGTTATGTATGGCAGAAAAACAGCCTTTACCTCCTGCCAAAACATAGACACATAGAGAAGTTTTAAAGGTCTTTGTCCTTGGAAGTGATGTGTTTCCTTACATAGAGCCTTAGCAGAGGGAGCCCTATAAGTAGAACACTGGTCTATAGAACTTTGGCTGGCCTAGTAATATAGTTTACACACAGTAATATAGACTGATTCAAGTTTGGGGTCATTCTTCCAGACCTAGCCCTCCAAATACAGAAGACCCATATTGTACACTAGCCAATATGGACCCCCCTCTTCCCACTGTTGCTTTGCTCTGTCCTGCATAATTTCTTTACACAATAAAGCTACAATGTAAAAGAGTAGTCTTATTGGCTAGGCAACCACGTAATTGGGGGCGGGGAAGGACCATGAGGTTCCTCTGAAGACCTCAAACCCTAGCCCACTGAGCTGCGCTGAGCCTCACCTTCTGAGAGCGTGCTTGTTATATAGACCCCGCGGAGGGAGGTCACGTTGGTAAAGTCGGTCTCCCCGCCTGTGGTGGTATAGAGATGTCTGTCCAGAGACTTGGAGTAGACAATGCCTCGGTCATCAGAGGTAAAGATTGTGCCAAACCCGGTATCTGACATGTGCAAAAAACCAAAAACACTGAGACTTGGGAGGAAACAGAACAAAGCAGTAGTCTAGTCATGATCTGGCCTGGCAGCAGATCTGTTAATCACTTTCACAGTAAGACTCAGACTTGAGTGGACTCACAGTTTCACATTCAAAGTCTTCAAGTTTGTCTTTAATTCTAGCACTCAAGTTAGAGGCTGGAACACAGGAGAGAGATGTTGCATTTGCTGCCTGACATAATCAGAAAAGCTCTTCTCAGGTATATTGTGCCGGCATATGCATTGTATTTAGATTCCCACTTCATGTTTCTAAATCTTTGTACTTTAGAATACTTTTCAAACTATCTTTGTTGAAGGATCTTTAAAAAATTCCAATATATCACAATATATCACAGGTAAGTTTATATAAAAAATTATCACTAGAAAAGTAAAATAGGAAAGAGACAAAATGTCAGCCCTAACTTTTTATAATTATGTTTAGAAGACAAAAAATTGCTTTATCAAATGGTTACGAATTTCTAAACTGGGTAAAGTGCCGCATACTTGTAATTCCAGCATCCAGGAGATTACGGCAGGAGCACTGTGAGTTTGAAATCATCTGGAGTATAGAATGAGTCCGTCCCTGTCCCCACAAAACATCAAACAAACAAAAAATGGCTCCTGAATATTTCCTGGTTTTACCTGGTCACAGACCAGCTTGAAACCCAGTACCACTGAACAGGTACCCACAGCTGCTCTGGGAAGCGCTCCCCTAAAGCATTAAACCACCCTCACAGACTACTGTAGGCACCAGAACAGCAGCCTTTCAAAGACGCAGCACATTATCTCTGGGATATTAATAAACTTCTTGGGGTAAGAGGAAGACTTGACATAAAAGGGAAAGGTTCTCAGAGCAGAGCCCAAAGCTGAAACCTCTACGCATTCAAGGGTGTGCCACTAAACGGCTCTTACCTCCAGGTTCATCTACATGCATGAATACCATGTCCTCATTGGCTGCCAGAATAGAATAGAATTGTTCCTGCCCCACAGAAGGAAGCTGTGCCATGCTCCATGTGTCCCCTTGGTCTGTTGACACATGGATCCTTCTTGTTGTATCCTAGAATAAAGATACCAATATCTACGTTTTTAATCTTCTGTAAAGATGTCATGTCAAGGACATGAATAGAAACATTTTTAAAATAGTTATATTAATAATTATTTCCTCAGTGGGTGCAGTTGCAACAAAGGGCCTGTGCCAATTCTCAAGGTAACTTCTAATCCCCTCTAGGCAATGAAAGAGTCCCTTCTCTCCTGCCTTTCTCTGGCTCCTTCATTCTGGTATGGTCCTCCCAATGGCTGATATTCCATCTCCTTCAACAGAGCTAAGGACGAGTCTGGACCGTCACTAACTAGGTTGGCTCTATATCATTTGCAAATACTTGCTTGAAATTCTCAAAATGATGATTTGATTGGCACTTAAATGTTCTGTGCCTTTAAGATAGCCCTAGCTTTAGATAATTAATCCAAAGGATTAGGTAACTGATGGTCTAAAAGATAAGAATGAAATCCGTAGCTGGGCTGTGGTGGCGCACGCCTTTAATCCCAGCACTTGGGAGGCAGAGGCAGGCGGATTTCTGAGTTCGAGAGTTCGAGGCTAGCCTGGTCTACAGAGTGAGTTCCAGCTAGGGCTACACAGAGAAACCCTGTCTCGAAAAAAAAAAAAAAAACAAAACGAAAAAAAAAAAAAAGAATGAAATCCGTATCCATGTTCATAGACCACAGGGGACAGTCAAGATGAGACACACTTCTAAGGAATTCTCACCACAGCCATAAGAAGGAGATATGCACAGGCTAGAATATGGACAAAGAATCCAAAATTCCTGTAATTTTGCGTGAATTTGGCTGGCAAAAGAGTCTGTTAGGAAGGCCACTAAATCCTAGTCTCTGTTAATTAAAACAGTTACATGAGACCAGCAGGCATAGCTCAGCGGTCACAGCTGTGTACGCTTCTCCATCCCCAGTTCCCTCCTTTAGCCCCACTACTTCAATGAAAGCGATCCTATCCATCAATCCACTCTTCCAGCCCAGTGGGTAATTCTCAGAGTTCACTGTAACTCAACATCTCACATGAGTTTGCCAAACTGGCCACTACTGCCTCAGGAAACACTTTCTTCACTTGACTTTTGCAGCTGCGTAGTGTCCTGATTTCCCCTCCCTCACCCCTTCCTCCCACCCAGACTTCTCAGCTGGATTCTTCTTTTCTTTGAAACCTTCAGTGGAAAGGTGCCTCAGGGTTTGTTCAATCCTCCCACCTCTTCTCTACCTCCCCATCCTTCAGAAAAACGCACCCAGTCACGAGACTTTAAATACCATGTAATTTGGGAAGATTCATAAATATGAACACCAACGTGACATTTCATCTCAGATATATAGTAGGATTTTTATATCCAACACAGTGAATTCTTGGTTTCTCTCTCACAAACCTGTTCCTCCTATAGCCTTTGCTATGGCAGAATACAGCCCTGCCATTTATACAAAGACTTGAAAGTTTCTTGTAGCTTTAATTTTTTCATCTCACAGGGAGATCTAAGGCACTAGCTCATCCAACTGCAATACATTTAAACACACACAGAACAGTCTCATCCCTTCTCCCTCACCCACTGGGAACAGCCTGGTTCCAGCTCCCATCTCCTTTGCCCCTTGAATGCTTGACAGCCTTCTGCTGTTTCCACCCTTACCTTCTCTCAAACAGAATCTCTTATGGAATGTATGGAAAAGCCCACAGTTATACTCTCAAGCACACCTATTCTGCTACAGTGGAAGCTCAGTCATAATATGGCCCACTTGGAGAATAAAAGCCCCATGGCTACAGCTTCCCACTCCATCCTGGCCCACTTCCCATGCTCTCCAGGGCTCCGGCCACACTGCCACTCTCCTCATATTCAGGAAGCCTGGGAGTCTGTCTCTGTCCTTGCTGATTCCATATTTGCTTTCCTCCCAGATATCCACACAGGGATGTCCTCTTCAGGTCACTAAGGTCACCGAGATCCCACCCAAGCACATGGTCTGCAGTAGTGCAGCCAGTTCCTGCTGCTCCTCACCCGCCATGCTGCTTCAGTTCTTCCTAGACAGACTTACTGCCATGGTGGCCAGTAGGAATGGCCCCCACAGGCTCATGTGTTTGAATGTTTGGTCCATGGGGAGTGTGCTACTTGAAAGGGATGAGGAGGTGTGGCCTTGTTGGAGGAAGTGTGTCACTGGGGGTGGGCTTTGAGGCTTTCAGAAGCTCAAGCCAGACCCAGTGTCTTGCTCTCTCTTCCTGCTGCCTGCCAATCCAGATGTAGAAAACTCAGCTACTTTTCCAGCACCAAGTCTGCCTACATGCTGCCATGGTTCCTGCCATGATAATAATAGACTACACCTCTGAATTGTAATGGCTTATGGTTACAGCCCCAATTAAGTGTTTTCCTTTATAAGAGTCAACATGGTCACGGTGTTTCTTCACAGCAATAGAACATTAATACATTTGCTTAGCAAGATCTTCCCCACTTGAATACAAGCTCAGCGAGTAGGGTATGTATTTATTAATTTACAGCTATCTTATGGTATCTAGACTACTACCCAGAACATTGTATATTTTTAATTATGACTATAAAATAATATGCACATGAATTGCTTTCTTTGCCCTCCAGATATTCATGTCTGGGTAAAACAAAACACTGGACCTACAAATCCCCAAACAGGGACTAGTCACAGTTACAAAAGGCTAAAGCCCCTAGTAAGCCCTGAGACTCAGTCAGCCTCTGTAGACAGAATCTCTCCCAAGCTTTTACACAGATATTTAAGATCATAGGGCTGGCAAGATGGCTCAGTGGGTGAAAGTGTTTGCCATCAAACTTGATTCCTTGGATGTACATGGTGTACAGAAGGAACGGACTCCTGGAAACTGTCCTGATCACCACACATTTGCTGTGGCATGTGTGTGTCCAACACTAATATCACACACAGACCAAATAAACAAATAAACGTAAAAAAAAGTAAAAGTCTGAAAGAAGACAAGAAACACTATCAGGACTACATACTGAAAATATCCATACGGTGTGTGTTAGCAGGGATGCCAGATCCCAGCAAGGCAAATACTTACCTTATCAGCCATCACAGAGGCAAAAAGGAAACGGCCCCCAAGACCAAATGAGTAGATTTTGACGCCAATGGTTTTGAAGGTTTTCCCTAAGTCGGATGTTCTCCATAATTCCAGGGCACCAAGATCAGCTTCTTAAACAAGACAAAATATTGATTAAAATTTCACTTACTGGCAAGTCTTGCTCACACAGCTGCTCTAGAATTGCTTCTATTTTAATACAGAAGAAACATTTTAAATCCACTGTGTGTTGATCCGGTGAGAGCATAGATATGGCATGCCATCATACACAGAGAATTTGCATTTGGGCTTTACTTCTGAGAGGTTTTCTGAGCGTTTATGACTCAAATGCAGTGTTGTATAACAAGTGACAACCTGTACTCTTCATGTCACACTTTAAAATGATCTTATTGTTTTAAATGATCTTGTTTGAGTCTTTCCTTCACTGCTTATCGTCTAACACCCTTACATTACTGTTCCATGAAAGGAAGCCCTGGGTGTTTTGTTCTGTCCTTAGACTAGTGTTTAGCCTACAGCAAGGACTCAGATATTTGTTGCATGAATTTAAAAAAAGATTTTGCTTTCTGCTTGGAGACTGTAGCATAGACTGGGAGGCCAATAGCTCAGCCATCATGATAACAATTCATCTTTGGCAGGAATCACCGTGCATGTCTGTTTCCTATTGTTTACAGCCTAGTGTTTGTCTTATCTTCATGGCTGCTATGGTTTAGATACAAAATGTCCCCCCAAGCCTCACGTGTTTAATGCTCGGTGCTTTTAGGGAGTTGTGGCATCTCTGGGACTGTGTGTCACTGAGGGCAGGACTTGAAGGTGGGTTTTTACTTCAGATTCGGGCAAAAGCTCTCTGCTTCCTGATCCACTAAGATATCAACAAGCAGTGGCTGAGAGGCCCTGCTGCCACGCAGGGCTGCTCCACTGGGACATTCTCCTGGCCACTGTGTACTGTACCCCAGTAATTGTAAACGAGGGTAAGCTTTCCTTATCTAAGTCATGCTGTAAACTCCCACTGCCAGGGACAGAGCTGCTTCAGTCACCATGTCTCCTCCACCATTATGGACTGTACACTCTAAACTGTGAGCCAAGGTAACCCCTTGGCCCTGAAGTTGCTCCTGTCAGTATTTTATCAATGTGGTCGTTTGAGAAAGCTCCCATAGGCTCCTGTATTTGAACGCTTAGTCATCAGGGAGTGGCACTACTTAAGAAGGATTAGGAGGTGTGGCCTTGTGGGTCTGCATGTCTCTTGCAGGTAGGCTTTGAGATTTCAAAAGCTCGAGCCAGGTTCAATGTCACTCTGCCTGTGGATCCAAATGTAGAACTCTCAGCTACTTCTCCAGCACCATGTGTACCTGTGTGCTGACATGCTCCCTGCCATGATGATAATGAACAAACTCTCTAAAACTGTAAGCCAGCCCCAATTAAATGGTTTCTTTTATAAGAGCTGCCATGGGTATGGTGTCCCTTCACAGCAATGTGACAATGACTTAGACAGTCAGTGATGAGAAAAGTATTTAGTACAGGAGTCTGGTATCAGAGGGTGCACTGTAGTGACGGACTGACCATGTTTGAGGGACGTGTAAGAGTTTGGAGCTCTGGTACGTCTAGCTACATGAATGCTACGAGCACAGGTCAGTGGATCACTCTGGTGAGAATTCATAAAAAGCAGAATTCTGAAAGAAATGTTCTGAGAGGAACGTAGACACGAAGGCCAGACTTAAGAGCTCTATTGGGAACTGGGTTAGAGAGCACTTATGTTACATTCTGGTAAAAAAAATCTACTGTGGTCTGCCTATGAGCTCAAATTTTGGGTAAGACTGCTAACTAGTGGACTAATTTATTTGACCGAGATCTACAGGCGGCTTAGCATTCATATTGTGCTATGGTTACTGCTCCCTGTGTGTGTAGTCAGGTTTAAAGTGAGAATTCAAAGGCAACTGTGGAAAAAGATGTGAAACATATTTAGTTTGCTGAAGAAAGAAACAAGAGCAAGACAGATGAGGCAATGTGGTTGTGATTGTTAAAGAGACTCGTGGAGCCGTGAAAGCAAAGCCAGGCGCCACACCAGGAGAGCAGCCACACCAGGAGAGCAGGAGAAGTGCCTTGAGGGCAGGACCCCACACAACGAAGCCTCTAGGGCAAACCCCGCAAAGTCATTTGCAAACTTTCTTTCAAAAAGAGTATGCCTGAGAACATGAGCCTCTGGGACACCTTGGTTCATCTGCAGGCACTTAGAGGGCACTTGCAGCTGTTGACCAAGGTAGACGGGTAGATACATCTCTAGATAGCTGGAGACTTTCAGCATTGTCCATGTGGTGGTTTTACTGTAGGCAGAATGCAAGAGCAATGAGCCATCAAGATCTGTCTCATGAAAGAGACCAGAGTCCAGGCAATGTTAGCTGGGCTGGAATCTCCTCAGGGAGACCCTTAGGGACCAATGCATGCAGCTGTGGAAGCGAAGCTTAAGGTGCAAGGGCAGACCTCAGGATGCTGGGAATGCAGACACATGCTGAAGGAGGCTGGAGCCCAAGGGAGCTGTCCCAGGAAAGGCTATACATGCCACAGGTAACAGGAGCTATAGGAGAAGGGTCATTCAAGGTCTCAGAAGCTCCAATGATCCCACCATGATGCCCAGATGTGGGCATGGAGCTGCAGAGTATGCTTCTCTAGAGTCTGCTTCTCTGATGGGTTTGGTCCTTTGCTTGTCTCTCCATGCTGCCCTCCTATTCTTCCTTAGAAGTATATGAATGCCTGCCCTTGTATACTGGAAACATGCAACTTGGGTTTTGACTTTATACAAACTCACAGTTAAGAGACTGTCTTGGGTCTCGGAAGAGACATAGGATTTCAGAACAATGTTGGGACTATTAACGACAATGGTAACTTTTGATGTCGGACTAAACGTATTTTGCATTATACAATGACAGCCAACAGTGGCCCAGAGTGGAATGTTATAGTCTAAATGGGAAGTGTCCCCTCTAGACTCTGATGCTTGAGTATCTGTTGGTGGGGCTGTTCTGAGAGGTTGAGGAACCTTTCTCTTATCTTAAGCTGTATTTGTCAGGTATTTGGCCACAGTAATGAGAAAAGTAACACACAATTGCTAAGAGGAACTGTATCATTTTCATATACAGTTACATTTTTATTGACCTGTGCAGAATGAAGGAATTTAGTTGTACTTTCAAGATTTTAAAAGTAATTAGCAGCTTTGAATTTTCTATAGCTACTGAATTTGCAGGAAGATGAGAAAAATCTTTTGTTTCACCATACACAACCCAGAATGTTCTACCCTGAATGGATAGCAGAACATTCTTTTCTGGGTCTACAATATACTTACTGCAGGAGCCATTCACATGGGTGGTGAAGAAGATGATGTTGTTTGGTCCCCTATAAAGAGGCAAAAAGACAGGGATAAAAAATGGGTTCAGGCTACTGAGAGAGTATGTTGGCCTAGTCACAAAGTCCCTGGCATGGTAACAACCCTATCCACTGACAACAGCTGGCATGCTACTCACTGTGTTTAGTCCGGTTTACAGTGAGGATTCAAAAGGAGAAGTGGAGAAGCTGTGCTCCCATGGTCCCCTGGTGGGGCAGCCCACAGCCTGGGCTCTGTTGTCTCCTACCATCATCTACCTCATTGTGAGAATCTCCCAAGCCAGGCAGTGGTGGCTCACGCCTTTAATCCCAGCACTTGGGAGGCAGAGGCAGGCAGATTTCTGAATTCGAGGCCAGCCTGGTCTACAGAGTGAGTTCCAGGACAGCCAGGACTACACAGAGAAAACCTGTCTCGAAAAATCAAAAAAAAAAAAAAAAAAAAAAAAAAAAGAGAGAGAGAGAATCTCCCAGTCATACTGATGTACTTACACTCCAAATCTGCCTCTGGGGTCACACCATTTCCCCACAGTGAGATGCTTCTCTCTCATGTCACTAAACCATAACCTCATAACCTCAAAATCTTTCAGCACTGGCTTAAAGACTAGCCCTCCTGTTAGAATCTCATTGTCACTCTGACTGGAAGCCTTTTTTTTTTTTCTTGCAAAATTCTAGAGCAGTGAATTCTTAACAAGGAGAGTTCTGCCTCCTGGGAACACTTAGAAGTGTTTTTGGTTGGCACAGTTGAGGTGGGGAGAGAAGCGGGCAGGAGTTACTCCTGGCGTCTAGTAGGTACAAGCCAGGATGCTTTTAAACATTTCAAAGTGCACAGAGCATCTCCCTCAATAATGACCCCTGCAGCCTAGTACATCATTGATAATAAAGGCAAGAATCCCTGTTGGATTGACATTGTGACCCAGTGGATAAGATGCCAGCCTGTGAGAGGCCCTGTTCTAGAGCCCTGTACCCTACTACACCAACTGTTGGCCATTCATTTGTCCTCTAGTGAGTTATTTTAATTGCACAATGTGTGCCATACTGCACCTGCCACACAGACTGGCATCTTCAGATCGTTGCTAGGTTTTAGGCTTTGTGGTTTCCCATCTGAATTTAGCTCAGTGCTTTTTATGAGCTAAATAATTTAGTTCTTCCATCTCAAATAGACAACTAGGTCAGAGGTTGAATTATTTAAAATGAAACTTGGAAAGGCAGTTTGCAAGGAATGAGATCTAGGCCCTGATAGATAGCACTTACAGATTACATTAGTCAAAGGTTCTCGGTTTGAGCATGCTTTTTCAGAACTTTGGGGTGTAAATTCCAAGAGATCAAAGGTCTCAAAGGTAAGTTAGTTGCATCAGTAGCCTAGCTACCTTGAGTTTAAAGCTAAGCAATTATATTTCTTAAAAAAGTAAAATACCAGGGCTAGAGGGATGGCTTGGCAGTTAAGAGTGTTTGTTGCTCTTGCAGAGGACTTGGGTTCAATTCCCAGTCCTCATATGATGATTTACAACTGTCTGTAACTTCTATGCCTGAAGGTCTGATGCCTCTCCTCCATAGGCACCCCTCACACGATACACACACATAACCATATGCAAAACTCACAGGAGAAAAAAATTAAGGTAAAAAAAAAACCTTAAGTAAAGCTGGGTGTGATGGCACATGCCTTAATCCCAGAATCTCTGTGAATTCGAGGCCAGCCTGGTCTACAAACTGAGTTCTAGGACATCCAGGGCTACACAGAGAAACCCTGTCTCAAAAATAAACAAACAAACAAAAACCAAAAACAACAAAAAAAGGTGTTAACTTAGATCCCATATGACATCGTTCCTGTTAAGCCCTATCTTGTACCAACACCACTAATTCAAACACACACCATGAAATCAGATGTGCAGGTGTACAATAGTACAAAATCATTTGATTAGTGCTTCTGGAAAAGGCTACCTCATTTAAGTAGCATAACTAGTGTTTTAATTGATTTTTGTAGATATTTTTAAAATACGTACGATTTATTTCATCTGGCTCCCTAAGTGAAATGCATGAAACCCTAAAGAGTATGGGTCATCCCCACAAATATTAATCATATCAAGCCAGATGCTGCTGAAGAAAGTATTTTTCCTTGATCTGGCACAGTAATTTTGCCCTGAGTTTTGTCTGGTTTTTTCATAGTTTTCCTACCTGCTTCCAGCCTTCAGACTGTAAAGCTGCTGTGTGCTTGCTGCTATCAGCCCCATAGCTCATCTCTGGCAGCAATCTGCTACACACTGGGAAACCAGGTTACTGGACTTAATAAAATTTGTCAGTGCAAAAGAGACTCTGAACGCAGTTCTGAAAGCAGAATGTGTGAGGTCTGAGGCTGTTGGTTCAATCCTTGCTTCACCATCCTCCGTATTCTGCTGAGAAGCCTCCTCTCACCAAGGGAGAAACTGAAGCCCAGAGAGGGTAAGCCACTGACTAGTAACACAGCCAGGCTGGAACAAAGGCAACTTCACTGCTAAGTCAGAGCTGCCTCTGGTGCATGGTCTTTGGGCGGGCACTGAGGGGCAGGGCATGCTGCCAAGGGAAGGGAGTATTTTCACGCTGCAAATGGTGGCACTTGTGCAGTCTGGAAGCCCTTTCAGCTCTTCCTGAGTTTGCACTGAGTTTTATGCCACTAAGATGGAGTGCTAGACAAGAAAGTGTAAGCCTGACTACACAGACGTACCAAAGACCCCACATTAAAGCTCCATTTTCTGTTCCAATTGATGTTACCAGCTATGGAGAAAAAACTTTTGTAGACAGCAGTCACAGGCCTTATAACATTCACTGAGACAAAATCCTTTCCCAGCACAATTAGAAGCTCCTCCAGGTCCAGGTCTGTGTCCCAGCCCACTGTCTATCTCTCATGGGACCCTGAAGAGCACTTGGCACATAGCAAGTACTTGCTATTTATTCATGTGACTTTTGGCAGCTCTCAGGCTTAGGGCTCTGACAGATGGAGTCTTGCGTTACTCACCATTTGGCCAAACATACTGCTTTGTGGATTTCTTCCCATTTTTCCCCAAAATTCTTGGACACCCACAGGCCATTCTGAAAGATTATAAATGACTTATCAAAATTCCAGCTTTATTCTGTGCAGCTGTTTACATGACCTTTAATAATTCACAGCCAACCAGTCAGAACGGTAGAAACAAATACTGGAGCTTCCTGAGCAAAACACACTCACACACATATGCACACATATACACACAAGCATGTACACATGTACATACACATATACATACAAACATGTACACATGCATACACACACATACACCTCCACACAGATACAAGCATGCATATTACTTGGGTTCCTTCTGGTCTTAGCACTGAGAACAACAAATCATATAAAGTGCCCTGAGTGCCAGGCGCCATACCAGACATTGCATTCCCGCCTCTCAATGATCTTGAAGTTTATCAAGGGATATGACTAAGAAAGCTCACTACCATATGGTGTTATGGACGGGGTCCAGTGTGGAAGAGGGGCGCGCTGCACAGTGACAGTTGACTGAAGAACACCACACTGACAGAAACGACCAGTGCTATGCTCAAAGGGAGGCAGGAGCGCTGGTGAAGGAGACCAGCGAAGACTAGCAAAGGTAGGAAGGGCACAAACATGGTAGAGTATGAAGATAAAAAACAACGGTGCAGAATCCCGAGGTGAGAAGACGAGGGGCGCTCAGGCCTACGGACGGACCTGGCTCTCACTGTGCGTGATTTCCTAGCAGGACGGTACTCTAAGAGGGGGATGGCAGCTTCACCTTTTTTAGGTGACAACCATAGATGTGAATGGGAAAGATGGATGTCAGAGCGTCACAGCTAGAGGTCAGACATGAAGTAAGCAAGCTTGAAGTAGTTTAGTAAGAGTTAATGAGGTCTTCGACCTCAGCCTTGAGGAATGGGGTCAGGCAGAAACGAAGCCAGAGTAGAACTGACTTCTAACAGGTCAGTGTGTGTGTGTGTGTGCACGCATGTGTATGTATAAGTCAACAACATCATCAGGGTGGGGGCGGGGGTACATTGTGTCATTAATTACTATAGACATTGTAGGAGCACACATGAGAGAAGAGCAGTGAAGTTCAGGAGGGCCTGAGCCAGAGGTGCCTGTGGGACACACACTTGAAGATACCTGGGGTCAGCAAGACAGGAACCTGCTGGCCTACGGGCAGCCAGAGCAGGAAGTAAGATCTGAGAACCTTTATGAGTGGAGAATCAAGTAAAAGTGGCTGCTCAATGTCAGATGAACAGAAGGCAGTTAAGAGTCAGCTGACAGGAGTTTATGGAAAAGGCCAAGAAGGACCATCTAGAGAGGTAGAACAACCAAAGAAAATGGGGTCATAGAGCCAAGCAAAACGAGGCCCTCAAAAGTGGGACTGGATATAGCAGTTAAGAACGCGAGATCTGCCGGGCGGTGGTGGCGCACGCCTTTAATCCCAGCACTCGGGAGGCAGAGGCAGGCGGATTTCTGAGTTCGAGGCCAGCCTGGTCTACAGAGTGAGTTCCAGGACAGCCCGGGCTATACAGAGAAACCCTGTCTCGAAAAACCAAAAAAAAAAAAAAAAAAAAAAAAGAACGCGAGATCTGTCAGCTTCAATTCCACTGGCAACAGAGCTCACTGAGCAGCCTCAGTGGGGGTGGGACAGAAATACCCTGTATCATCAGAAAGTGACTGGGGCTCATCTAGGCAGAATGGGCCTTCAACTTCCTCTCCTCTGGTAACAATAATGACCTTAGGCAGATGACAATTTATACTTGTCCTTTGCAGCTCAAGAAAGACCACTGCAAACTGTTCTCCAGTTCACTATTCTAGCAGAGGATATCCATTCATCAAAAAACATACGACAGCAGTCATACATCACACATACCTGGAAGAGGCGGGCTACGGAAGTCACACCCAGATAGGAACAGAGTGTAAAAATACTGTTCATTGTAAGGGCACGTTGTAAAGAAGTCTAATGTAAACACCCTAGAAGATCCTTCAGAGTCAGTATATTTTGACACTGTAAACAAGGAAAGGCAAGTTCAACTGGACTTACTTCAGTGCTGAGAGCTAACAGGTAGTCGGAATTCTGAGGGCTGTACATCATCTGAGTCAGAGGATGAAAGGGGAGATCTGTCTGCACAAAGTTCTTGGCAAAGTCTGATGACCTGAACACTCTTCCTCCTCGGCTTCCCCCAGACACCTCTGCTGTTAATATCACCTGCCCAGGGAGAGGAGACATCAGGGTTAGGGAGTAACACTGTGAACACCTGGGAAGGTGGTGTGAGTGAGTGTGCATATGCTTGTGTGTGTGCATACATGTGTGTGTGTGTGTGCACATGCACATATAATTAAGGAAATTTTAGATCCAAAACAAAGAGAAATTATAAAATACATTATTTACTACTCTTAAGTTTTACTCTTATATATTAAAGATATCCTGAGTTGGGCCAATGCATCATACCTGTGATAATTTTTTTGATTCTGGTTAGTTTTGAGATATAGTTTCCACAAAGGTTACAGTGTTGTAGGGAGTACCTGTTGCAATGCTAACTAACTACCACATATGCAGGAAGGGTTTTGGTGCATCTTGGATGTGAACCAGGAAAAAAAAACTGTGCTAAATCCCATTCTTTTATGATCAGTGTCAGACTATGTCTAATTTTAAAATATAGCAATACCAAACTAAAATACTGCCCTAATTTCATTTCTGTTGCTGTGATAAAACACTCTGACAGAAAACAACTCAGGGAAGAGAGGGTTTATTTGGCTTACACTTCCAGATTACAACCCATCATTTCCTGGACAAGAATCTGAAGCAGCTGGTCACACCTACAGTCAAAAGCAGAGAGTGAATACATGCATGTATGCACGCCTACTTCTGCTTAGCATGCTTCCCATACTTAGTTCAGGATCCTCTGCCTAGGGAGTTATGCTGCTCACAGTGGGATAGATCTTCCTGCATCTTAACGCAGTCAAGTCAGTCTCATGCCCCAGTGACATGTCACAGGCCAGTCTGATCTAAACGACTTTCACGGAGGCTCTTCCTAGGTTGTGGTCATGTTGACAAATCAATCATCACAAACGCAATCCTGTGAACTGCTGGATCATTCCGACACTAACATATTTCAGGTGCTGTGAGGGGACAACTTCACATGCAAGAATGAATCTCACCTTTCCAGAGTTCTCAGGACCAATAGCCATGCCAAACTCTGTCCGAATGAAGGTGTTATTGATGAGATTTGTAATATCCTTAAAGTTCTTCCCATAATCCTCACTGACAGAGAGAAGAAAAAAAGCATACTTAGAGTGTGGTGTGGAGATCTGCCAGAATTCTTAGCCTTTATCCCTCTTTCATGATTTTCTCAGTCAGGAAGGGGTTAGCCTAAGAGATATTTCTCTTCCTCATTAGTGATAGGTTTCAGGATTGGGGTTTGTGAGGTGACCTATGTTGACCTAAGAAGAAGAGAGGGCCTTCTTTTCCTTGAGATTTTCTAGGGAACACATTTCCTCCCAGATAAGCCACATGCTGAATCTGGTCGGTTTTCTTTTAGGCCAGTAGTTCTCAATGGGGTGCTTTTGTTCCCTACTCTCACTTGTGGACTATCTAGAGACAGTTTTGATATCACAATCCAGACACTATTTAGGCAAAGATGATGCTGGCCACACTGCAATGCACAGGGCAGCAGAGAATTATCTGGTCCCAAATGTTGATGCATCATTGTTGAGAAATACCACAATTGGCATATGAATATAATGCAAAAAATTATTATTCCATGATGAAGGGGAAACTGAGATAATTCTAGAATCCCAGAAAAGCAGAGCACACAACGTGGGATAGAACTGACCCTGAAGCATGTTGTTTATCCGTATTTAGTTATGTGAATCAGCAATTTCCTTGTTATTCAAGCTAGTTTGAATTGAGCTTCTGCTAACTGTAGCCAAAGGGCTCCTAACTAACCTATAAATCCACATTACTTATGGTAAGCCAGTGACTGAGTAATGGTGACTTTGATGCTTTCCTGTGAGAGGTTAACATCTTAGTCATAATTTCCTAACTCATGTCTCACCAAAGCTACAACTAGAGAAAGCAAATGGCCAAATTTAACTCTTGGTTTCTCAAGAGCTTTCCCCAAAATTCCATTCCGACAAAGCCTGTGGGAAGCACTCGAATTCATGTTTAGATTTGTGAAAAATAACAACAAAATCTTTTTGAGAAATGAGAACAACAACAGAATCAGTAGCTGTCTGATAGGTTTAATACTATACATAACTTTCTTTAAATGATACAGAGTACCAAATATTTATTAAATTTAAAGGGACTGGATCTGGTGCAGACCTGGGCTGCTTGCAACCTTTGTCAGAGGCACTTCTCTAAACAGTGGGCAGCAGCCGATGCAGACACACCCAAGTGGCTAAGAGGCTGACAAGAGACTAAGTGCTTAGCCCTGAATGGGGTGTCTTTATTATCCCCACCCTCTGCCAAGCCTAGGGAACAGCATGGAAATGTGAGAAGGATGTCAAAGCTGGAGGGTGGGAGGACCTGAGCGATGCCAGGTGTGCCGTGACAATCACGCTCACGATGTAGTGTCAGCCATACAGATGGGGCAGATGATCTTCAGGCCCCACCCTTCACTGAGGAGCTACTGGCAACTGGTATCTGCTGGGGAAGAGAGAAGCACGCTTCTTTGTTGGTTTGCTGGTAAATTTCTCAATGTCCCAGTGGATGGTCTCACACCCATGCACATATGGGCAGCAATCACTGGCCTGACTTAGCAAAAAGCAAAACAGAAAAGAAGAAGAGAAAGAGGTGGAGGAGAGGAGGGACAGGAGCAGGGGGAGGAGGAGGGAGAAGAAGGGGAAGGAGAAGGAGAAGGAGAAGGAGAAGGAGAAGGAGAAGGAGAAGGAGAAGAAGAAGACGAGGAGGAGGAGGAGGAGGAAGAAAAGGAGGAGGAGGAAGGGAAGAAGGAGGAGGAGAAGACAACAAAGTCAGAGGGTGGCACTGGGAGGGATGCAGAGAGGCTGGAGAGAGTAAATGGGGGGATGTGATCCTTGTATATCCATATGAAATTATCAAAGAATAACTGATATAAAAACTTTTAAATCATCTATTGGTGAAGACATGGCAAGCCAGTTTCTCAGAGCCAGAAGAAATCTATGGTAATGTTCACATTTACTACAAATTTAGGGAAATACCACAACAAATAATCACAAACTGAGGAACATGAGAAATGCACAGAGCCAAGGAGACCATTGTGTGCCACTCCTGTGATTTACAGGAGATGCGCGGGAGGCAATTTAACAAAACCCAAGTAGCTAATTAAATACAAAGTTGAAATCATAGTCCAGTTCTTTGAATTCTTAGCCCCAAACTAGAGACAACTTATTTGTGAGGAGTCCATTTTTCTTATAACTTGGGAATCATCATTTCTATGGCTAGAGTCTCTGTTTAGCAGTAGAAGCTAGAGGTGCCTATGCCTGTTTACGCAGTCTTCAAGGATGATAAAGCAAAGCAAACCACATTGTCTCAGAGTTACTGGGATGACTTTTACACACACACACACACACACACACACATACACAAATTCCTAGATAATCAAGACAGAGAGTGGGTACCATCCAACAGTTTCCTTTACTGCCCTGTCTCTGGCTTTGGAGTACAGGATCTTATCTTCTAGGCAGCCAGCAGGAGACACAGGTAAGCAGTGCCCAGCTCTGCAGAGTGCACACCATCAACAGCTCAGACAACTGTTGGAGAAACTGTGGCAGCTTCATTATCTCTGGTTTACAAATCTTCCTGCCTTTATAACCTCCCCAGGGGACCTTCACAAACCCATTGACACAACTGCCTGCTTTTAAAGAACTAGGTCCAATGAACCTATCCCTGCACTCCAGAAAAGAAGGCCACACTAGTAAACAAAAGACATCCATGACAACCATCCATTACTTCAGCTGTTAAGCAAGTGGAGAAAATGGACTAGAGCTAACCTTCGGGCGTTAAGTAAGTTCTGCCTAGAGCTAACCTTCGGGGGTTAAGTAATTTCTATCGGTATATTATGTACATCAGCATGAACTGGAAACCAATAAAACATCCTGAAAATGAAATCTATTTTCTAAACTTCATATGACAATATAATTATAAATAGTAACCGAATGATTGCTAACCAAGAAAACCCTGAAAACCATCTGCTTTAGAGATACCTTTTTAACAACAATTCTAGGTATCAGCCACATCTCTGGTTACCAAACACAAAGATCATTTCAGTATGTCTATGGTGTGGACATGCTCATGAATGGTTTCAACTCAAGACATCACCAAGGACAACAGTGTGTAGAACAAAAATTATTTAAGCCACATAGCTATTATAACGGAATATCATATTCTGGAGGCTGGGGAGCCCAAGATTAGGGCACTGGGAGAGTCCATGTTTGGTGAAGCCCAATTCCTGCAATTTTTTATTCGTTTTAATTGGATTCTTGCTATGAAGCCAGGCTTGAATTCAATGTGTAACACATCCTCCTGCCCCAGTACTAAGAGCCAATATTATAGGCATTTCCCATCACACTTGGCTTTAAATCACCATCTTATCACTGTGAGGTTGTAGGGCAGAAAAGGTAAGCAGATGTCTGAGGGTGAGGGGTCTTTTAAATAATACTAATCCTGTCAGTTAGGGCTTGCTTTCATGTTCTAAACACTTACCTACCTGAGGTCCCTCCCTCCTCATATAGGTCAGGAGCCCCTGCTTAAGGAATGGTGCAATCCATGTGAGGTGGATCTTCTCACCTCAATTAACCACCAAGAAAATCCACCACAAGCATGCCAAAGGCAATCCTGATCTAGATGACTCTTTAAGACTTTCTTCCCACTGGGCATGACAGTGCATGCCTTTAATTCTTGCACTCAGGAGGCAGAGGTAGGCAAATCTCTGAAAGTTTGAGGCCGGCCTGTTTTACATAACAAGTTCTAGGTCAGCCAGGGCTACCAAGTGAGACCCTCTCTCAAAATAAGTGAGTAGGTAAATAGATTCTCAGGTAATTCTGTTGTATTAGGTTGACAATTTAAAATGATCACAGATGTCATCTAAATCAAATATGGGTGAGACTCAAGGTACAGTGCATCCTGCAGCAAACATTTTTCTAGCCATGAGACAAGACAAGTGTTTTCAAAGTATAATGACTCTGAAGCTCTGCACCTACAGCTTCAAGTGAAAGACAGCTGACCTACTGAGCCTGTGATCCCTGTCCCCCACCCTAGTTTGAACCTGAAGAAGCCACCTTGATGATCTCTGAATGGTTTCTGGGCTCATTCTTCCTGGTCTGGAAGAACAGTACACATTAGCTGAATAACCCCAGCCCTAGCCTATCAAACTCAAGAAGTCTAGCAGCCCTTCTCCACCCCTTCCCTCCTCCGTCCCTTCCCTCCTCTGTTCCTTTCCACTTCTTCTCAAGCTCACATTTGTTAGTTTTCCTGCTGGGTGGTTAATTAAATGCTTCCTGTGTATATTAATCCCCTTCATCAAATGGCCTCACGACCACTTCCTTCATGTTACAATCTTTGAAGTATGGAATGACTGAGGATTTTCTGCTTAAGTTCTTATTCCTTAAATTCTGCTTCATCTCTTAACAATTCTGTCTTAAGTCATTTCTCTCCCTTTGCATCTTACTATCTGCTGTCAGGAAACCGAGGTCCGAGTTCAGCACCTTTCTTAGAAATGCATCAATGTATTTCCAGTTTCACCCTCACTAGTGACTTCCATCTTCCATATAACAGGACATCAGGAACACCACTCAGCCACTGCCTAAGACAGCTTCACCGTTTCTCCACTGTTGGATAACACATGGTTGTTCTGTCTGAGACCTCAACATAGTGGCTTTTACATCCATATTTTAACAGTGTCTGCGGTGGAATACAGAAGCACTCTAAGACATAAGGTCCCTTGTTTTCTTTCTGATTCCTTAATAGAATCACCTACATAGCTGTACTCACGGCAGTCCAGGAGTTCCCAGCTTACAGCTCACACTCGTTCTGCCTCAATCTGGTCTCTAGTTCTTTAACTCATTTTTCAGTGACTAAGTCTACAGATCCTGAAATGAAAGCTGTAAGGCCAATGACTAAAGAATAATTACAGTTTTGTAGTTTTCATTAATTGGAAATGTTTATGTAGTTGGTCTTTATTTCTCACACATTATTTGCAAACTGCCTATGCATTTAAATTTATTTGTAATTTCAAATTCAATACTCATGGTGCTTTTGTGGCTATCTGCAGACATTTACAG